GGAATATCTCTACCCTGATATGCGTGTTGAACACGTCTACAGCCGCAAGTAAATGTATACATTTTAAATCCATACATTTTAAATGTATACATTAAGCATGAGTACAGGTTTAGTGCCAGATTAGTGGGGGATGATGGCAGTGGTAATGCATCGTTAATACCGGATGAAGGCGATGCATGCAATAGCGAAGTGTTTTTTCGGTCAAAATTACTTTGGTATTGCCACGTCATTTTCTGGTGACACGACTCCAAGCGGCTTGGCACAATTTGTCGAAATGCTCCCACTCGCCTCAGCACTTTGGAGTCGGGGGGGGGGGGTAAACTTGTACCCCATCTATAGCCACAACCCAGATAATGTACCTCGCTCGTTACAGGATCGCATGTGAATGTTGTAAGCAAACACGATGTCCGCTGTGATTCTGCCAGGACGACTTCCATCGGTCGCTGAAATGTGACGAGTGGATTCGTAAAGCAAAATGGTATCCATAATCATTGTTTCCTGGGGGGTTTCGTAGCACGAGTTTTTTCCTCTGAATTCTTTTGAGAAGGCACGTTGCCCGTAGCCACCAGAAGTCCAAAGCAGATAATTATTGCATGCTTGAGACGGCATGCATGTTGAACTACTCTCGTGTATTTATACTTCGTCTACTTTCGCACTGTATGTACGTAGCCAGTGCATGGTATTTGGGAGGATTATCTGGGAAAACGAGCGTACTAAAATTGTCATTGTTAGTTGTATTCGGCCATTTGTAATTGACATAACTAATAACCAAACAGACGTTACCGGTACCACTGGGGCAGCCGCCCACAGACGTTGAACAGCGACTTGTGAATGGAATTGGGCCGACTGATCCACGACGCGCATGCCTGGCTGTGCTGTGGGTATCTGCATGCGTATGCAACACAAGCGTCCGTCATCAGGTGAGAAGCTTTCCCACCTGATGACGGACGCTTGTGTTGCGCCCGAAACGTCGTGATTCATTTTCTACCTACGTGACTTTACCGAAAAAACCAAAGAGTATGGATTCCTGCAGTCACGAAAGCGTCAAATCAAGATTCACAGCCTTATTGTCTTAAAATGTTTCAAATATGTATGCCGGAATTGTGGGACCGCCAAATTCTAAAATATTAGTTTTATATTCTTGGTTCTTTCGGTAAAGTCACGTAGAAGGGAAATAATACAATAATACAAATAAAACATATCTTATTATGTTTAATTTTTATTATTTTGAATATTAATCCATGCAGTCACGAAAGCTTTAAATAAAAATATTAGTTTTCGTTTAAAAACAGATTTAGTACTGGATTCCGAACCGTTCAAAACTCTGAAATACAAACTGTCACAGGCCTAGGTTAAAGCACTTCTGACAGACTCGGTTTATAAGGTTAGGTTTTAGATATTCCTATTTCTAAGCCAAGACTGGGCAACACTCAAAGTGCAGCTTCCCAGCTTTTCTAGAACAGGTGAGAGCCACAGTCAGTCGAAAGCTCTACATCAGATGTCCAAGCAGAAGGAGCTCGATATGCTCTCTAGTGGTGGCATCAGAGCGGAACCTTGTAGAATTTGCCGTTGTGCATATGCACCTTCTGGCGGGACCCCGGGGTCCCGAATGAACGAATGTCAAAATCGTAATTAATTTGCTTTTTGGCGACTCCGTCCCACCCGCCTGGCGCGGATCGTTCTGTCGTCGTGTCCAAGCGCAGCGGCGAGGACGAATGCGCAGAAGAGCCGAACAAGCGAATGCTGCACTCCATGCTCGGGTACGGGCAAGATCACAAGTCTCATCCAAAGCTGCTCAAACTGCCTACACCACTTAAGTCCTTCATTTGTCATAACGGTGTGCATAATAGTGAAACTGCTCTCTTATCTTCATTATTATTTGTGACCTACCAATGTCTGCAGCCAGGATCGATCGATGACAATCCTAATACCTGCAGATATTTAACAGATGAGATGCGTTGCACCGTTAATTCCTCATTTGATAATACTTCTCTTGTACGTATGCATCTGTGCAGATAGGTTTTTTTTGCGGTTAAGCCATAGTCCCCACATACCGCTCGTATCAATGCGCATAAGAGGAGCGGCGACCCACTACTCTGTAGAGTAACATTGGTATAAACGCTCGCTACAATATGAACATCGCGTTAGAAACGCGTTCTATTTTACCTTCTGTTTACAAAGTGTGTTCACAATCCACACTGAAAAACACGATGATTGACAGAGGGGTGTAAATTATTTTTTCGATAGTGTATTTAAATAGAGGTGCTGCATGTAAGTAGTTTTCAGTTGTAAAGGCATAGTTTAACAAGACAACACTTGCCACCATCCTTCAAACCCATTGGTGAAAAAGAGCAAAGTTTTTGTTGACATTATAATTTCATGTTTATGCGAGAGCCGGGGGCTTGTGGGACCCCGGGGTCTCGCCGTAAGGTTCATATTTTGCGCGGTATGTGATACATTCTTTAGACCCTTAAAAAGTTATACAAATAAGCGCTCGATAAATGGAGTAATTTCTAAACGCCTGGTGCGTGGTGGTGGGTTGGGGGCTGTGGCGAGCGGTAAGCGGGGGGACCACGTGGAGCAGCCGCCCTTTGTGTCGTGGGTAACCACGTGGACTCCCCACTCGGTGCCCGCCCTCAGCTTCTTGATGGTCTCCGTGTCGCAGGCCTGCATTGTGGGGGGCGGGGGGGGATCCACCCCCTTGCACCCCTCGGTTCAACTCGGGCATGCGGCGTCGTCATCTCGTCGCTTAATCGTGGCCTTGCATTGTCACAGACTCTCTCTCTCTCAACTCGGCGATTCACAATCCCCTACTCTGCTCACGCAGGGTACCGTGTCCACTACGGAATGATTGCGCCCCAGTGGCTACCACTGGCACGGAGCGCTGTGTCGAATGAACGCTTCTCATTTACTTCCGCTTCTATACAATGAAGGGGGGTCCTCGGGACCAGTTCAGATACCGCTCGCCACGGGTGTTAACCTCGACTGGGAATCAAGCTCGGGTCGATGGCGGGGTTCATCGTACTGCGTGACAACTGCTGTTGCCACCATGCCTGTAACAGGATCTCATCTGACAATTCATTTGTAGAAACTAAAAACAGAACCTGACAGCCTGTTCTTGAGTTGAATATTCTTTGGGACGGAAGTATAATTAGGTGTCCATCCAATTAGTTTCCCAAGCTACCTGAATGAATGCCCCTTATTAGAATAATATAAAACTAGAAGTGACAGCCAGGCGATGGTGAACAATCTCAAATGCACCACCGTGCCCCTCCCATGCCCTGGTCGGCCTCGGGCATTTGCTCCGTATGAGTCAGGCTAACTGCTCCTGTCCGTCTCCTGCTCCGAGGCTTGACGGTAACGCTTCGCCGCCTATGAATTGCTTGACCCACTTCGTGCCACACTACTTTGACACGCGCACTCCGCCATGAATATCGGCATCCCTCCTACGCCCGTGTTCTCGGAATTCAAGCAGAGCTCCGTTTTAATTTCTGCTTTCGTCTTATTACCAGCAGCCTCTATGCAGCTACGAGCCAATCGGCGTTGACATGAAGGCCACCGCTCGTGATGCGCTGCTCGACGGTGTTTGCAGTCCGTACGCAATCCACACACACGGCTTGTACTTAGAAAAGAAAACCACTCGCATTTATTTGGGATGTGTTAAACGTTGCTTAGTTTTTTTGTCTTAGGCTGCAGTACTTACATACTAGTGGATAACCAAGTGCCTTCTGCCGACTCGTCAATTTTCTCAATCCATACTTGGCAGGCAAGGGATTAACGTAAACTGTACAGTCATCAGCCATTTAATCCTCTGCTGAATAAACACGTCTTTGCCGATATTGCTAGGAAATCGCCTTGCAACATTCAAAATCAGCATTTCCATGCTCAACCATTTAAAAACAAAGCTGCCAGCATTATTGATGTTACACAACTGTCGATCATTGCGTTGATTTGTAAGCGTATACCAAGTGTTAAACTAGATCTATTAAACTTGTAACTATCGCCGCTGGTAAAAAAAAAAAAACTAAAAAGAAAACGGTGAAAAACAGAACTGAGGTATGCCCGTTGAAAAAATGATTAAAGTATTACATTAGTGGAACAGATTTCCTACAATGCCTCTGAAATGCAAAACGATCAGAGGTTCCCCATCAGTGTCAACACACGTGAGTAGCCCAGCATGTAAGATGCCGTCACTTTTGAAAGTTATATAAACAGTGGACGAGTAATTATCTAAGTTTCCATTGAAGCAGCAGTCCATACCATAGAAATGAAATCGTGATCTATTTCGGTTTGCAATAAAGCTTTAAGATTCTTAAAGTAAATTTGTGATGACGATTTTAGAATCATAAATTTTCAAGTGGTGAACTTTGCGTAAGGATTCATGCAGGGTGTGGTAAGTAGTTGAAGTGAGTGCAGAGTGCACAGGTGACGACGCAGCAGGAGCCCGCCCTGCAGCAGGAGCCCGCCCTGCAGCAGGAGCCCGCCCTGCAGCAGGAGCCCGCCCTGCAGCAGGAGCCCGCCCTGCAGCAGGAGCCCGCCCTGCAGCAGGAGCCCGCCCTGCAGCAGGAGCCCGCCCTGCAGCAGGAGCCCGCCCTGCAGCAGGAGCCCGCCCTGCAGCAGGAGCCCGCCCTGCAGCAGGAGCCCGCCCTGCAGCAGGAGCCCGCCCTGCAGCAGGAGCCCGCCCTGCAGCAGGAGCCCGCCCTGCAGCAGGAGCCCGCCCTGCAGCAGGAGCCCGCCCTGCAGCAGGAGCCCGCCCTGCAGCAGGAGCCCGCCCTGCAGCAGGAGCCCGCCCTGCAGCAGGAGCCCGCCCTGCAGCAGGAGCCCGCCCTGCAGCAGGAGCCCGCCCTGCAGCAGGAGCCCGCCCTGCAGCAGGAGCCCGCCCTGCAGCAGGAGCCCGCCCTGCAGCAGGAGCCCGCCCTGCAGCAGGAGCCCGCCCTGCAGCAGGAGCCCGCCCTGCAGCAGGAGCCCGCCCTGCAGCAGGAGCCCGCCCTGCAGCACCGACGAGGCCTGGCGCGCCCAGCAGCGGCTCCATCGGGACCGCTCCTCTGGCCAACAGGGGCCTCCCTGCTGTGTGCATCCCATCTGTTTAGAGCCGCCTCCACGTCTTGTTTGGCAGCGCAGTGACGAATGGTCCAACTTGGACCGTTGCGGACTCTCTTTCAGGAGGGCCCTGGCCACGTTTTGGCACGATTGCTATGAACTGTATATTCCACTTGCGTCATGTGCGGTGTGAACTTTTAACATTTTGATCGCGATGCAGGCACACTGGCCTATGCCTATGAATGACAGTGATCTTTAATGTCCACTGACGCAGATGGCACGTCGTATGTTTTGGTTACTACACCCACAGTATTAATTGGGGTGGCCACAGGATTTGAACAACCTTTGCAACGAGCAGCAGCTGCTGTGCTGCACTCCAACTGGATTAATGGGAACCAGGAGAGGAGCCGCCTCTTTACTGGGTGGCATTTCTGTGCCTTTTCTTTTCCTTATTGAGGTGGTACACATTAAAGGTGGTACACAACTCCCCAGCGATGTCCAAGCCAAGGCCGGTGAAAATTGGGAAGAAATTGAGAAATCCCAAGCCACATTGTCCATAAACGACAGCCACTTCACAATGGCAAATTGGTAATGACTTTAAAAAAGGGAAATGTAAACATGAGCATGGATAATGTACACTCGCAGCAAGTGCATGCACAGGATTAGAGGGATTTCAAATGTTGCCACAGGCTTTGCACTACATCAGAGGCCCCAGATGGTTTATGTCAATGAGCATGAAACACAGACTATTTAAGTTAAAGTTTAATAAAAAAAAAAATGGTATTTACACACTGAAACAAAACATTATTTGGGCAAATCTTGACTTAAAGCTTTCGTGACTGCAGGACTCAATATTCTTTGGGTCTTTCACTAAAGTCAAGTAGATGGTTCAAAGAAAATAAAAATAAACTACGTTCTGATCACAACACACGCGTACGTCATCCTCTTTCCTCCTGATGACGATCGCTTGTTGTGATCGGAACGTAGTTTTTGGTTATTTTCTTAGAACCATCTATGTGACTACAGAAAGACCCAAATAATATAATTTGGGCACCATAGCTTTCCAGCGTTGACACAGGAGGCTGTGGTTACATGTACAGTACATGCGCACGTACAGTTGTCTTCACAAACCAGTTGGCGCCAGCCCTCGCGGTACATTTTCCAATCATGGTGGCCATGCCTGTTCATCTGTAAATCTACAGCGCAGCCACAGTGAATACGACTGCACGACACTGCAGAAAATGTATTTTACTCTAACATACGGTGTGTTGACTTTCTCCATCTAGTGGAAGAAAAAGGGGGTGAAGTTTGGGCAGTCTTCAGATGAGAATTCACGCGGCTTCAAAAATAATCTTGCGAAACTTGGAAGGACAACGATCTTGACTCTACCCATCAGTTGTGGTCCTCTGCAGTACTTCCGGGGCAGTTAGAGTCCAGGTCGTCACGGTCTGATGGGGAAACACAATGTCACTGGTGATTTAGTTGTGGTCCAGGTGATAAAATGTAGAACATTTAATTTAAATGGATAATTTTTTTACTTAAGGATATTCACCGAGGACGATAAAAACTTTCAATTAAAATCGGAGTTTATATATATTTTTTATGACATAAGGGAATCGTAAAACACGAGGGATTTATGACATGTGACACTGCATTTGAGTCTGATTAAACCTTGATCTGTGGCTAAATTGCATCACAGTTGCAAAGGTTGAGAATTAAATTCCTCATTGGAGTTGCCTCGAGCTATTATCCCCTGGGGGTCAACTGGAAGAGCATAGTGGCTGGTGAACAGTGGTACACGTGTATACAGACTGATCCCTGCTATGGGAACGTGGCATTTGCAGTGCTGGCTCCAGGCTGCCTATGAAGAGGAGTGCCAACCCTTTACTTGATTGCATTTGGAGAGGCTGACTTTACCTCCTGCAGGTAGTTTCCTTGAAACATCAGCCAACAAGGAAGGACCTCTGTTTACTCAGATATGAGACTACTACTTCAAACACTGCAGGGGGACGATATCAAAGGTATTTTGCACGACTAGAAATTCCACATAGTAACAAATCAGTGTTATCCCTCAACATATGTACCGGTGGTTCAGTCCGAGTGACCAAGGTATGTGCTAGTGGAGACTATGGTGAGCTGCCCAATTGGCACCCCTTTGGGCAAGCGAGTGCAGCACGCACCTTCGTAGGAAGTGCCGCACCAGATGCAGTAGAAGTGCTCGGACCGAAGGTAGCCTGTCAGCTTCTGCAGCATCTCCTGCTTCTGCAAACGCTGCATGGGCACAACAGTTGTTAGTCGTGGGTCAGATGACATCCAGCGCCCGTTTCCTGAAGGCTGGAGCAATTTGTGTCAGGTGTCGTTGCACTGAACACGCCACTGCTTCTCAAGAGCCCTGTGCCTCACCAAGTGCGCAGGTTTCCCTATCAATGCACTCAATTTCGACAAATGCCCTACCCAGAAATCATGATTGGCTCTGCTAATTGTCATGGAGATAAACATCTTCAGGGTGAAACAAGTTGCCATTTGCCTCATCTCTCCCGCACAGCTCTCTCTGTGGGCCGCGGTGATGGTAGGAGGCAGTGTTCATGGCTTTGTTGGCCTCACCAGAGAGGAAGTTTGTGGTCTGCACTGTTGCAGCACCAGTATAATGATCCTTAAAATGGCTGATCCTTAAAATGGCTGAGGAAATTAAATATTTTATTTCTGGGACACTTTTTTCCAGGGGTGTACTAAACTCCACGACTGGGGTACCAATCAATCCGAAATCAGTGCTACTCCACAATGTTGAAACGCAGCAAGCACGATTGTGCTGAAACCCTGAACGTTTGTATGCACCATAGTGCATCGTGAGTACAGCTCGTCAAGATGAGTCGATTGCCGCATCGCAGGCCATCAACAGATTAAAAATGACTGCATCACGGACATTATGCGAGAGCCGGGGTAGCGCCATGAGGTTAAAATGTTAGTACTTGTGACCATATTTACTGCCAGTTTTCAGGGGTTCAGAGACTACACGTAAAACCACATATCATCTGGCCAGACAGTGGATAATATGCTCACTCAGGAGGAGGAGAATCACTCTTGTTGTTTAATACAAAAACACAAGAGGAAGCAGTAACAGTTGGCCACCTCTGGTCATAAACTGTCCAGGAACTGGTGCTAGGCGATATGGGTGATAGGCGACAATGGAAGTCACTTTACTGGATTGTGGCAACGTGGCTTTTGTATTGAAGGTCCATATAAGCAATTTGGTATCAACTGTCAAACCTAAGCTTATATTCCACCTTGGCAGCGCGTGTAGTCCCAGCTGAGCAGCATTACTGATTTGGCTGTAGTGGGTCTGCCACTCGTCTGCAGTGGGAAATTAAATGTGATGAAGTGAAGGTCGGGTGACGTGCACCAGCATACTCTTTAGTTCTTTCGGTAAATCACCGATTTAATTTATTTTATACCTACGTGACTTTACCGAAAGAACCAAAGAGTATGGATCCCTGCAGTCACGAAAACTTCAAATCTAGAGTGCACCAGCATGCACACGAGAGTAGCACGCGAGAGTAGCACACATACGCCACGCACAGCCCCGTTACATCACTCTGGAGCTGCGAATCGGCAAACGCCTCGGCTCATGGACTCCACGCTCGTGAGAGGAGGGAGCGGCTCACGGCCTGCAACGAAACACTCACATTGGGTTGGTCGTCATCATCTTCCTCCTCATCGTCCTCGTCATCCTCATCTTCGTCTGGTTCAGGCTGCATCCAGAACCAGGGCTCCAGTGGCTCCCTCACCCCCTGCTCACGACATGCAAGGGACACGGAGAGCACATGTGTTAACACGCTCGTGTGCCGTACGGTTCACGGCGTGCTTCACACAAAGCACACGCAGGCACCACATCTATTTTTGTCATTATTACTGCAAATTTTTTTAACCAGTATAACTAATATAATCCGAAAGATTCATAAATGTGCATTTCATTAATTCCCGTTATTAGCAATGACTGGTAACAGGGCAGTTCCACAATTTCAGATGTATATTTCAGATCCTTGAATGATGCTCATGATCGTATCATCATTAAGTTATTTTTACTTGGGCATACTACCTCAATGAATTAGGGTCGTCATTCAGGATCGGAATAATGTGTCCAGATTTGTTGGTAAGAGGAGAATGCTCGTATAATACCGCTGTGCCAGACGTACTGTCTTCCACGCTGCGATGGACACCGAATTCTCAAATAACAGTTGACACAAGTGCCTTCACAGATGGTTGTTTATCTGTTGCCTGCGAGCTGACCTACCAACAGCGATGGGGACTCCCTCGCTCAACTATTCTCTGTTGCACAGAACCATTGGAGGCCCCAGGAACCACAATCCCACGACGCGACCCCCCGCCCCGATTCCAGGAGCCGCCTGTCGTGCCCCACGCCGACCCCTGTACCTTCTGCTGGTCAAGTTGCTCGCAGGCTCCCCGGCTCTTCCGGAGGTCTTCCTCCGTCTGGCGATCTTCCAGCTTATTGCGCACGCGCGTCCTACACCGCGGGACGCAGAACGCACCAACGTCACGTGAAGCGCACCCATGCAACGACCGCCCACGCAAGGCCTATCCGTACAAAGAAGGGGACATGAGTCTTTTATCACACCCCTCCCACATCACCGTACGTTCTCTGTGCAATCCCAAGCACTGGAAGCATCGTCCCCACAAGTAGAAAAGCAGAGCTGCCTGCACGTCACAGGGTGGACTCTTGAATCTAGTTTAAGGCAGAGCACTCGCTGTGGCCCCACCAAAACAGCTCAGGTGAGTAACTAAACTAAAGCGTGATCATGGGTGTGCTTGTTGATCTTTGCCTACAGTTAAATGTATCATCACAAATGGTTGCTGTACTACATAGTTGTAATTGAACACCCCGATTTGGACAGTGCACCGAGACGTGATAAATAAAAAAAAAATGCAGACACCCTGTGGCGGAATTTGGTAGAACAAAGAGTTTTCTTTAAGTACGAAGTAATAAGCGGCTTCATTGATGTTGATGATGTGAGCACACACACACAGTGCGTGCCTGTATTCCTCCACCGAACACTTGGCTTGCTGCTGCTGCCTGCGCCGCTGGCGCTCCGCCACTTGTCGTTCCTTCTCCTTCTCCCGGCCCACTCCACCCCTATCTGCACGCACGCACCACCAGCAGAACCACACACACCACCAGCAGAACCACACACACCACCAGCAGAACCACACACACACGCACCACCAGCAGAACCACACACACTAAGTCTGGGCTCTGCCACATTTCAGAACATCCCATCAAAACTCTCCCAACAATTCCATCAAAGCACATACTGAGTGTGGGGGTGCATTACCATGCTGAAACACCACTCCCTATCAACAGCCCATGGCACTACAAATGAACGTCAGGATACACTTTGCCAAATGTATTTCTCCAACAATGTGAAGCGCTTGTGACAGTCTGTCAATCTTCCTTCAAGGCAACCATTATCAGACCCTGCATGTCCTAAAAAACGTGACCTTTCCTCGTGACCTTTCATGTGTAAGGTTGGGATTTGAACCCGGGTGTTCCCACTTAATCTCGCCTTCCATCAGGAATCTGCCTGATAAGGTACGGCCAACGCGAATCTTCTTCGCCTTATAAGAGTCCAATAACATTTTTGGCACCCATTGGGCACACAATTGAGAAATTCAACACATCAGAAATTATTGAGAGCACTGTTGCCAAATGTATCCCTATGACTGCTGATATTCGTCCTTACATCCTGCTTGCCTGTCACACACAACCAACCTCTCCACACAAGCAATGCTGGCTAAGTTTAATCCTCAAGTGAATTACCACTTGGGTCATCATCACAAACATGCACGCTGATTGCAGCCATGCCACCACCCATTGTATATGTTGCCACAATACTTGTGGTTGCTCATTAATTTGCAACCTATTTTCTGATAAATATCACTTGGATTTTCTCATTCAGAGGAAAATAAAACCAATGGCATCTCACTGCTCTTCTAATGTCCACGTGTTACAATAAGCTCTTCAAATAGCTCTATCATTATGAACCAATGTCTCTCCACTGCTGGATGAAGGTCTCCTCACACCATCGCCATCCCTCGCGGTCGGTCCAGTGCTGCTACCATCATCTCACTTGTGCGCAGAAACCCATGTCATCGCTCCATCTCTGTGCTGATCGTCCTCACACATCGGCCATTGACCCACCTAGCGATGGTTCCTATTGGAGCCCATTTACTTCTGTATTGTCAATACGATGTCTCCGATTCGCGTTTGTTCACTGTTCCACATATTCCTTTGTCCATCTCTCAGTGTAAATTCAAGCATGCATCTCTCCATTCTTCTTTGCGCACTTAAACAATACCTTATGTGCGTGTATCATTTATTTTGGTATCATCCAAGCTTTCTGGTAAGCCTAAGATTTATGTTTCATTTTCTATTCTGCAAGCACCAACACTGATATGTGCGTAGGGTCAGTGAGGTCAGCCCTACAGCTGTGAGATGATTGCAAGTTAAAGCGCCGATAATACAAATCCTTATAAAGAAAATGAAATCACCTCCGAACTCATCCCCAACACAAATCGCATACCTACATGCTCAGACATCTGTCCACTCAACTTCTCTTGGTAGCATGGTTTTGGTCAGGCATTTGAAATAACATTCGTACAATTTGAGCACGATGCAGACCCATGCCAGTGAATGTATAAATGTATATGTACCGCACACATGTGCAACCTTTGATTATTCTAAGTCTCTCCTAAAACCATAGCTGCTGCAATGCAATTGCCCTTAGAATATCCTCACTTTGCACTATTGTTACAGACGCTCTCTCCCCTTCAGATTGCCTGAGTATCCCTGTATCTCGGTCAAACCATAAATGCCATTATTCAGACAAAGCCGAATATAAATCCAGGTGGTTGAAAACAAAAAGAGCAGAGGGCTAGTGATTCACAATTGATTTTTGGGTCGGATGGGGGCGAGTGTCGACTGTGCAACGAAAGAATCACCATGGCATCCGCAGACTTGGCCACCGTTAGACCTCGTGACCGTTATTATTGTCATTGATTTGTGCCGATTTTGTTACAAAATCTTTGTGCGTGCACTTCTCTTTACCCCAGGGTCTCCCTCAGAAGAAACACGTCATCTGAATGAGCTTTCATGAGTTCCCAACACGATTTCCCTCGCCAACAAAAACGTTCCTCATGGCAAGGGTTACCCCACGAGTTCCCTTACACAAACTCCGACTCCGCAACGCGCTCCGTACCAACGCTCACGAGCCGGGCTCCCTGCAGTCGACCTCTGCCCGAGCTTTCTCGACCACCCACTGTTACCACACAATCCCTCACTTCAGACGACACGTTTGGCACGACACTCCAATCTCCATTGATACAACTGTAGATTAAGGTGGCATGGTGTCACAGTGGCAACACTTGTGGCTCACAGCAAGAAGGGCCTAGGTTTAATTCTCGAATCTGACTCCTGTCTGTGTGGAGTTTCTATGTTCTTCCCCTGTTCTGGTTTAATTTACCACATCAGGAACATACATGGGACTGGCAGCACTGTGTCCCTGGCCTGCATGCTGCTGCTCCTGGGTACACGCACAGAGTTAAGCGTGCGTATGGCCAAGAGTGGCTCAACCGTGCAGCAAACGCAATCGGCACTCACCTGCTTTGGGTTGCACTGGGATAGGCTCCGTGATGCCAGTGCCTGTGGTATCAAAGACAGAAAAACAAAATCACCTGTAAGCTGCCATTATAACATATCTACATGCATGGAGAGTGATCGCACAAGTCAAATACACCAACACGCCTCGTGACGATGAGTGTGATGATGAGGGAATCGAGTAGTTCCGTTGCGAGTTTGGCAATTTACAAGCTTGCAGGAGTGATGTCCGTGCAGTGTCACATGACATGTGGGGAAATGTTATCTCCCTCGCATGGTATACAACAGGAGGATGCGAGTTTGATCCCGACCCTGACGCATGTATATTTGGAGTTCGCGTGTTGTCTCTCTGAGTTCGCAAAGATTTTTCTCCGGGTCCTCCAGTTTTTCCCTCCACATTAGAAACATGCATTTTGATTATTTGGCTGCTACTATAAATCCCGACTTAGAATAAGCCACTTCGATGCACTAGCATGTGTGGCCACGTTGCCTCAAAAACAGAGCTCATAGCTCAAGAGGGCTTTCACCTGGTAAAATAACAGTAGTAGTTGGATGAGCGACCGCTATTCATAAAACATAAGAAAGTTGCAGCAGGGCTTTGTCATGAGAGTGCAGTGTAGCAAAATTAATTAACGTACTGTACTATGTTCCAACATACATGTGCCCCTCGCCTTCAACCCAAACTGACCAGCATGCTGAAGAATGGACAAATAACCCCCACAGCCCGGAAGGTGTGGAGAGATCCCTCATCCATGAGTGGAATAACAGATGGTCTGTACATGTGCTCTGTAAGGCTGCAGTAATGTTCACCAGGATGACACGAAGTGAGTGGCGGTGTGGCGAGTTGTGGGTGGGTGAACCTTCGTGCACGCTTTCAACACCCAGTGGTTCCAGTATCACTCCAGTGTCACTCCAGTGTTCACCAGAACCATTCCCCAGATTCTCAGTTCTCTGTTTTTTACTTGCAGATGTTCACTTCAATGCACGTAGCTTGTTTCGTGGACACTTAAGACTATCGGTCGTGCAGTCATCATCATCCTACCTATAAGAATAGGTTTTACCCTTTCTGGCAATAAAACAGGTGTTAAGATTTTGATTTAAAGTTTTCGTGACTGCAGGGATTCATATTCTTGGTTCTTTCGGTAAAGTCACGTAGAAGGGAAATAATAAAATAATAAAAATTTCAAACAATAACATTCTCACGACGTTTCGACTGCAACACAAGCAATCATCATCAGGTGTGAAATCCACAGCAAGAAAATTTCACACCTGATGATTGCTTGTGTTGCAGTCAAAACGTCGTGAGAATTTTATTGTTTTATATTTTTATTCTTTTATTATTTCCCTTCTACGTGACTTTACCGAAAGAACCAATAATAGGTGTTAAGATGTTAAAACACCAAACAGAAACCTTTTTCAAGGGATCCTGTCTGCATTAACCACACGTATTTGTGGTGAACATGCAACAAAAACATGCTCTGATAATATATGCATTGTCTTTGAAACGGATTGGTCCACACTCGAGACAGCTTCAATTAGAGCCTAGTCTCAAAGTGTTAGACAAGAGAATGCCAAAAGGCGAACAGCACAAAGGCAATGCCCTATCAGGGCATTCATAGCTCAGGGTGAGCAGCTACGATACGAGACCTCTCCTGCCTCCCGCTATCAATCCTTGCTTCGTGCGGACCGATACCGGCGCGTACCGCGGGCCCCCGGTGCCGCTCACCGGACTTGCCGAGCCCCTGTCCGGCGCGGTAGCCCATGCGCTGCAGCAGGGCGAACCCGCGGTTGTGAGTGGGTAGCGCCGAGGACAGTGCCGCCTCGCGGTTCTGCTGCTCCACCACGGCTCGCGGCACGTGCCGCGCGCGGTGCTGCGCGTTCAGCTCGTTGTGACGTCGCTCCAGGCGCCGCTGTGCCCTCACCGCGTGCGACACCACCAGCCCTGGCCGCTGGTCCTTCCTTGTGGGGATGAGAGATGCGCACAGATGCAGTCAACGCAGAGCTGTGCTGCTGGGTGATAATCTAAATGAAAATGACATTGCGTGCTTTCATGCCAATTATAACGGACGCACGTAATTATTTACTACCCAATGGATATAAACATATAATTGAGCACAGTTGATGCAACAGTAATAAGAGCTTTTGACTTGCAATGGGTTGTTGTGCTTAACTCATTCAGAGGGTTCCCATTTCTAATCCCAGTCAAGGGTTGACTCAGCCGATCATTCCTGAGGTCAATAAAATCGGTACCACTGTCGAATGATAACATTGCTACCATGTGATGAGCATGTAGGGAAGTAGATCCTGGACATTAACAACACTCGAGTGTGCATGGCCATTCAAATGGATGCCAGGTCCAGAGTCAAGAGACCTGGCATGCCACCTGCTGAGATTCAGAGAGTCAGAGAACTCCACTGGGCCATGCAAGGTTCAAATTTCGTTTACAACCAAGCAAACTGGTAATCCTGTTTCCTGCTGCACTGGTTGATAAGTGATCACGTCATATACTTTGTAAACAATATATAAAGGTTGATAAGTGATCACTTTTAACGCGAGTCTAGATTTTCTGTATGTACCTGTGCTATTGTGTTGACACAATCCCCCTTCACTAAGGAATCGGGGCGGTGACAAGACCCATGCAGAGGTGTACGGTTCGAATACCTCGGTCGCCCTGATGAATACTGCGGGTGCACTAACCATAATATGCGCGTCTGCTTCACTGCGGGATTAAGTATTCCGACATAGGACCCGGATACTGTGGCTAAAATGTGAAATGAAGTCGAGGGCCGTTTCAAGGCCATGGGCCAGGCCTAGTTTGAGGCTCAAGTCTAAGTTTGAGGCTCAAGTAGAAGTGGATTATTGTGTCGTGGGCCGAGAGAGGTGGGAGCCTGAACCTGGCCAGGGTCTCCCCGGTGGCTGGGAGTCTTCGCAGAGTGAACATTTCTGTTTGCCTCACAACCCGAGGTGACATTTCTCGCAAGGAAATCGTCTTTACATCCTCGCAGGCACCACGACCCGGGTGCAGGACACCCAGACACACAAACATCGAACTCGGCGCAGTGATCCGCGCACTCCGCTATTAACAGCCACAAACACTGAAGAGTTCGACTCCCAGCCGCGGCTAACACAAGTGGCGAGTGATACGGAGCCGGCCCCGGGCTGCAGTATGGCCAAACAACTCGCACGCACTCACACCGCGAAGAGGGAGGGCTCCATCTAGCAGTGGACTACCACAGGGGTGGCCACATCATCATCATCATCAACCTCCTCCTCCTCCTCACGGCGCAGTCGCCGCGCTCTCTGCGGGCCGCTCACCCCGCCTCGACGAAGGCTGCCGACATGTAGTCCTCATCCCCCCCGCCTCCTCCCTGCATGGCGAGGCGGACGCGAAGGCTGCGATGGGACGGTGAGGGACGAGGATGACGAGGGGAGGAGACGGTGAGGGACGAGGACGACGAGGAGGAGGAGGAGGCGGCTCGCGGGGCCTCACGACGCCATCGCGGCCACAGCAGCAGCAGTAGTCTCGGTGGGCGCGCCGCGCATGCCAGGCCAGAGGATTTACCTCCACGCCGGGCGGGGGGGAGGGGCAGACGCCGGGCGGGGGGGAGGGGCAGACGCCGGGCGGGGGGGAGGGACATACGCCGGGCGGGGGGGAGGGGCATACGCCGGGCGGGGGGGAGGGGCATACGCCGGGCGGGGGGGAGGGGCAGACGCCGGGCGGGGGGGAGGGGCATACGCCGGGCGGGGGGGCAAGAAAATAAAATAAATAATAGAGTACGACGTTTCGATTGCAACACAAGCAACCGTCATCAGGTAGAACTACATTTGAGAGAGAGACATAACACAGACAATGACACAGACAGACACACAAGCAGAAAGAGACGCACAGAGAGACAACATAGACACAAATATTTAAGTATTTAAGGCCTCGACACAGAGGCAATGGGTCTCTGTGTGTCTATGTTGTCTTTCTCTGTGCGTCTCTTTCTGCTTGTGTGTCTGTCTGTGTGTCTCATTATCTGTTTTGTCTCTCAAATATAGTTCTACCTGATGACGGTTGCTTGTGTTGCAATCGAAACGTCGTATTCTATTATTGAATTTATTTTCTTTCCACGTGACTTTACCGAAAGAAACAGTGATTCCTGCAGTCACGAAAGCTTAAAATCAAGTTTGTAGTAATTTAATTATTTGCAGTAAATTTAGCAATTGGATACTAAAGTGATTGTTGTTCAACTCACTGGTATGAGCTGTAATGTTTGTACATGCGGAAAGTTCATTTGTTTGGCTGTCGGGTGGTGGAGGGTGCCTAAAGACAAAGATTTGGCCAGATAATTACGTGGCCTTACTCAATAAGTAAATTATACATCGTACATTTTACTGAAAAAAGCCACCTGCGTGTTAAATAAAAAAAGCAGTTGGTGGCGCGTGGTAAAGTGGCGTGAACACATCTCCAGAATAAAACACGGAAAAGTATTTCACAAGCCCTGGTCGTTTATTTCACAGTTTTTAAACCAAATCTGAGATTAGACACAAATGTGGGAAACCAGACGAGTGTGGCCAATACACTTGACTCCCGGGGCTCTCCACGCCCGCGACTCGCCGGAGGACGTCAGCTGCCCAGGCTGATGCTGGAGAGGAGTGTGAATCGTGGAATGAGCTGCAGTGACAGCTGACACGAACGTTTTGTCAACGATGCAGCTCGCTACAAACATGATGGGAAACAATCAGCTCTTATGCAAAACGTGGCAAGCAATATTTTCATCACTCGAACCAAGTTTTGGTATAAGAGCGGTCTTCTTCTGCTGCGTACGGCTGACGGAGAGTAATATTGTGGAGCGATGACAAGGACGGACTTGCGTTGCAGCGCAGGGTGCAGACTGGCACACACCAGCAACCACACACCAAGTCTGCACATCCGATGGGTCACCCCGCTTATATATTGGTTAAATGTAACAATTTTGAATAGGGAAAAAAATGTACCTGCTTAACCCTGGTTATAATTTGCGTTGTGAGGAATAACCCTAGTTTTACATAGTTTAGTTAAACTGGCTGCACTAAACTTGTTAATTGTCCTTCATATAAAAGGGCGACTAAAACAACATGCTTCCTACAAACGACCTCATCAGCCACCAGCTTTAGCGGGCATCTACAGCCTTTCAAGCAGTGCCAATGTGGCATTTCATGAAAGCCCCGGTTTGTAATGGCCGTCCAAACGATAGCTCGTGAGCCACATCCGTCCCGCGGACAACTCGTTTATACCAAAATGTACGAGTGGACTGTGAGTACACATTTAAGATGCACAATACAGTAGTGAGTTCAGAGCGGGATTACTACGAGACGGAGGACAACGCAGGCAGCCGAGGGGGTGTGTCTAATCTTCGCAGTTTCAAATCTAACATTCTGCATGCATCTCCCCGATGTCGGTGGCCTGGCACGTACACTCGCAAATCCTGGAGTTCGTCGAGTAGCCAATAGAGAATTAGTAAATATTTAGTAACTCGCCAATATTCCAAACTTGCAAATCCAGAAATTGCGCATCGCGAGGGTTTACTGTACCATTGAATAAACATATACCCATCATAGGAATGTGGAATTTTAATCACTGGATTTGGAGTTCAACAACAATCTTTTAAGGGAAATGTTTAGCTTGTTATTGTAACCCAAGGGCCAGAAAACCATCACAAAGTTCAACTCTTAATAAGAGAGCACTCTGTGTTTACTAAAAAGTTATTAAATGCCTACAATCCAAACAAGCAACATTGTCAACCAGATTCTCACCCATGCAAATGCAATTGTAAATGCCGAGTTTGAATTCTTGAGAAACAATGACTATCATCATCATACACGATAGACGTAGCGCCGTACCTACACGGCAGGTCTCTAGGCACTAAAAGGATTGACAGTGAAACCACAAGTCAAAATATAACACCAAAATTATAATCAACAACAAATTATAATCTATAACCTCAAGATATTCCACACACGAGAGAGGGACTCCACTCATTGGTGAGTGTGAGATGATCGCTTTCAGCCTTGATCATGCACTGTCCTGATCCAGTCTCTTTTTAGCTGGGTTGGGGTATTCTGGATTCTCAATCACTCCGGGGCCAAACTTTAGCTCGAGGAAGCGTCGATGGTTGTTTGGAGCGTACGCCAGAATTCCGGCAAACTGCATGCGCTCCAGTGGCTGCAGGAAGTGTTCGGGGAACTCGCGGTCCTGCGGGTGGCCCTGCATCCACGTGAGTTTGGTCATGGTGCCCGAGCTGGAGTGGAAGGGCCACAGGTCCACGTGCAGCCGGTTGGTGCGGCTGTAGTGCACGCGGTAGAAGTCTCCCTCACGCGCGCGCTCCCACACGAACCCCTCCTCGTCCTCCACGGGGCCCAGTGCTACGAACCCGGGCGCACACAAAGACAAAGAACCACCGGTATAGCCTTTATCAGAATTTTAGGGAACGCGCTGTTAACGAGTAGCACCTACAAAGGCCGGCACGGCGCATGAGGGGGTGGGAGGCAAGCACCTTGCCGAGCCACTTTTGTCTCACCAATGTTGATGTTTACACACTGCACAGGGTACTTCCTTGTGGATGCTTACACACACGCGCTCTGCCACGTTCGTACACCACAACGGCATGTGCACAACACCAGCTGACACCAGCTGACATTGGCCGGCAACTTGTGTTTCCTCCGGAGATCGCAACCACCACCCTAAGACCTGACGTGGTGCTCTGGTCCCGTTCACTCAAGAAGGTCTTCATCATTGAGCTCACAGTACCCTGGGAGGACTCAGTAGATGAGGCTTATGAGCGAAAACATCTGCGCTATGCCGATCTAGCTGCCGAAGCACGGCATCATGGCTGGAACACAGAAGTCCGACCAGTGGAGGTGGGCTGCAGAGGTGTTGTGGCAACATCTACAACCAGACTGCTTAGTGACCTGGGAATTAAGGGCCAGAGCCAGCGTTCGGCAATCAAAGCTGTATCGGAGGCGGCAGAAGGCAGCAGTCAGTGGCTCTGGATGAAGAGGAAAGACCCCAGCTGGGCCCCAAAGTGAGAGGGCCAGGAGGTATGCAGTCAACAATGCTTGACTCAGGGAGGAGGACGCCCCTGCCATGCATAGTCCCATGGGATGTTGGCTACCAACAACAAGGCAACTCCTATGACTAATTGGGAATGGGACGCAAGCGTAGGATTGATCACCCTGTCGCTGGCCGCCTTTGGGGAGGGTGTATAGTATGAAAGGCCGAAACACCCTAGGAACCAAAGGGTCACTACTGACGATGCGCTCCCCAAATTTCACCAGGCTCACTGTTCATGAACTCTTGGAAGTGCTTGCACAAAGGATAGTAACATCTCATCCTGTGTTATTTGGAATTACACACACGCGCTCTGCCACGTTCGTACACCACAACGGCATGTGCACAACACCAGGGACACAGCCAGGGACACCCACGCACCTGCCGCCCGCTTGAGCAGCTCGCACTTGGTGATGTCATCGCGGTACAGACCGAGATCCGCGTCGTAGTCCCAAGGGATAATGTCGCCGTGGCGAGCGGCTCCGAGCAGGCTGCCACCCTCGAGCCAGTAGCGAACCCCCGCGCGCTCCAGCTCGCCCACAACGCGTGCCACCGTGGCGCGCAGGGCGCGCAGGCAGCATGGCGGCGTCCAGCGGCCGCGGTGCAGATACTCGGGCGTGTCGTCCAGCACCGAGCCGAAGCAGCGCGCCGTGTTCTTGCTGCAGCCAAACCATGTCTCCTGGCCCGCGGCGTCGCGCACCTGTGCACCGAACACGTTGACACGCACGTCACAGCGGCACGCACGCACGCCACAGCGGCACACACGCACGCCACAGCGGCACGCACGCCACGGCGGCACGCGCACCCCGGCAGCAAGCGGACCCCGGCAGCACACACTTAGTTCCCTCCGCGTGGATGCAGCGGTTCCTGAGCCAGTTTGGACATAGGCATCTGCCTGGGACTCACAGGGGAATAGGAGTGTGACCCCAGCATTGTACAGCAGCAGCAGTTGATGAATCTGGGTGTAGTAGATGATGTGCGCTCATGTGCAATATCTCGAACATGCGCATTGACAAAAAACAAAATACTTCAAGGGGCCCGTAGAGAATGTGTTGCACATTCAGTGTACACAAGCATCGTAGCGCTCTGCAAGCGGTCGACTATTGGTACCAGCCGGATGTCCAGGTCCCGGTGCAGCGCGTCGAGCCGCGCCTGCCGCCGCTGCTTCGCCTTCCACTGCGCATGAGCGTCGGTCAGCAGGGGGTGGCGTGCGAGCGGCGCCACGTCGCGCAGCAGCCGCACGCGCCAACCCCGCAGCGCCGTCTGCAGGAACAGCGCCGTGTGCAGGGGCCGGGCCCAAGGGAGCGATACGCCGAGCAGGTCCTGGACACGCACGCGCAGGGACCGGAGATCACACGTGGTACGCATCTCGCGTAGCCTTGTAGGCCGTGGGCACAAAGCGTCGCAGGTCACCTCCCCACGAGCACAACAACAGCGGGAAGTGGTAACTGAACTGGGTATGGGCCTCAAGTAGGTAAATTCGGCCTTAAAGGAATACTTCATGCGGTACGTCAATGGCAGCGAATGGGAGATGAAAGTGGCAGGGCTGGGTCCAAGCGACATCACCCCACAGCTTGGCGCGCTTGATTGCACAGATGCTCATCAACAAAGGTTGCCCCGACAGTCGATGAAACCAAGCTCGGCATATGTGCCCTTGTGAGTTGCCAAGTCCAAGTGTAGACATATACCAGTAAAGTGTATTATGGTGAGTGCAAGTGTTGAATTTTGTGTGTGGCTCATGTCTGGTTTGTAATGAGTAATAGTGGAGCGTGTAAGTCGGTATTGAGTATTCGTGCACCAGGGGAGTGTGTAAGTCGCTGTTGAGTATTCGTGTACCAAGGGAGTGTGTAAGTCGGTGTTGAGTATTTGTGCACCAGTGGAGTGTGTAAGTCGCTGTTGAGTATTCGTGCACCAGGGGAGTGTGTAAGTCGGTGTTGAGTATTCGTGTACCAGGGGAGTGTGTAAGTCGGTGTTGAGTATTCGTGTACCAGGGGAGTGTGTAAGTTGGTGTTGAGTATTCGTGTACCAGGGGAGTGTGTAAGTCGCTGTTGAGTATTCGTGCACCAGGGGAGTGTGTAAGTCGGTGTGTGGCTCGAGCCCGGTCAGTACCGGCGTGCGGATGAAGATGACGGCATCACCAGTCAGAGCATCACACTCGTCAGCGCGCGTGGGCGCCCGGTACTCCGCTGTCCACTCCCTCACTCTCACCTGTACAGGCACACGTATGTCCGCACATCCACACAGCTGGACACACCTAACACACACACAAGGAGCGCATGCCAATACATTTGTACACACTCACAAGCATGTAATCATTACACCTTGTGCACAGCTGGCTGGGTGTCAATGTGACCAGAATGTTTGACAATCAGGCTGAAACCCCAGTTGGGGCTGATTTGGCTCATCAATCCATTGGGGCTGATCAAATGGAAGGATTGGATTTTGAGAGCCTGTATTTGGCCTAATAATGAGGATGAGCACTGCACCAGGCTATTCACTCGAGACACTTTGACTGAAGGTAGCACCACACACAACCACGCATGCCCACTGCCACACATCATATGCTCATTCAACTTGTAATGTACAACCTCTCGAAGCCAGACTTGGCAAAGCTAGGATTTGGGCTATACCGGAAAGGATCCCCAAAAATAAAAAAAATTACGAAGGCAAATAATTCCAGAAGCAACACCGATCACGCGCAAAGCCGGCCGTGCGTGGGAGGCACTGGTGTCGCCCAGTCGTTCCGTATTGGGCATCCAAGGGCACGGGTTCACCGATTGAATCAGTCCACCATGTGGTCTGCTGGTGGTGATCTTGTAATCTGTTTATGGGCTTGAATATTCTAATTGCTTAATTCATTCTAACATATTTGGAGCAAAATCTGTCATCTGCTGAGCCTTCTACATCCAGCGACCATCGCCCCTTTCAACGTTCTTTCACTGTGATGGAAACTCAGATGAAGCTGCAGCGATGTTTGAGGTATTATCTCATTGTGAATATTTAACAAATAACTAAGCATGCCGGATTGTTTTATCACCTAAAATATAATTGAATCAATCATCAATGTCTACTGGATCAATATATTCTGGCAATGCAGTAATTTTATCTGGAAGGCCGATTGGCTGAAGCGTTCCACGCTGTTTCCTGTGGACACCTGCACACGCTCTCCTGCCCAAGTACTGCGCGATGAGCGGGGCCGTGCCCCATTGTGGATTCTCTGCCTCGTCCCTCGACTTGACTCCGCGAGCACGCAGGGTCACGCGCGAGGCGGCGCACCGAGAGGTCGAGGCAGCGCGTGGGGACATCACCCCGCACGGGCAGCGCCACCATGCGCACGTTGCCCGAAGATCGGCCCAGCTCCTCCTGCAGGCGCCGCAACAGTTCCGCACCTCCCGCGCCGGACCACGCCACTCCGTCCGGCACCAGCAGCACGGCCTCCCTACGCAGCAGGCGCTCGGGGCTGGCCTCGGCAACGGCCCGCTCAGGGTGGCCCGACAACGCGACCAGGCGTGCTCCTGGAGGGATGGCAGCCGGTGAGGCCTGGAGACCCGAGCCCCGGCACGGGCGGTGACAAAACTAGAGGCCGACGGCCACAACGACGCAGGCCGACGGAGGCAGAGAACAGAGCGACAAAACAATACAGAGGACATACAAATACGAGGAGACGGAGACAGTTTATGGAAAAATACATTGCTTCAATCTATTTGGCTTTACATTTGGTTTCACAGGAGGTCTACCAAGAGAAGGGAATAAGCAATTGGCTGAATAGTACAAGTGCTATATGGTAGACCCCGACTGAATATTCCCATTTGTGGGTACTCATCACACTGAAACACTGGTTTTAGTTTTGATACATTAAAATCGTATTTCTTGAAATTCAGGCCCAGCTTTTCATAGCCTATACAGAAACGTGACTTAACACGTTAATTTCTTCACCCTTTGTATGAAGAGTGCTGGAGATAAACATTAGGACGTTTATGCAAAAGCTTTGTAGAGGGTGAATATATACTGCAGCACACTGCAAGGGCTTGTACAAATGGTAAAATTTGGATCTACTGTATTCACAAAGAGAATCCGACTCCATTTTCAAACAGGAGGCCGGAATCTGCTGTGCGAGTCTGCACGACCGATATGAACACAGCCTCAAACCACAACGCCCCCCGTGCAAGGAGGGGCCCGCGGTGGCACCTGGCGGCAGGGCGAGGGGCGGGTAAGGGTCGCGGTCCGACAGCACCAGCACCTCCCGCTCGGGGCCTCCGTCTGCCAGGAGACCCCGCGCCGTTTCCCCCACGCTGTTCTCAAACTCCTCGAACTCCCGCAGCAGCACCACCACGCCCGGGCGCCTCGGCGGGCCGGAGGCCCCCCCGGGGCCGCCCCCCTCGCGGCGCTGGCCACGCTCGCCGTGCTGGCGAGCCGTCCCGCCCCTCGGCGTGTCCGAGGTCCCTCGCACGGGGAGGCCTCGGCTGGCGGTTGACCTCGCCCCGGCCCGTCCGCCGCCCCTGCCTTCCAGCGCCGCCTTTGTTCGACCGCTCTCTCTCATGAAGTAATACATGAAGAGCAGGTTGAGAGAAATGGCGAGGGCCAGCAGCAGGTGGCAAACCCTCACGCGCATCGTGGCAAATGACGCCAGGCGGTGTGCTCGGCTGGGCAGCGAGGATGACAGCCAAGCAGATTGCGGCTGTGCGCACGGCGCGCTCGGCACGGACCCTCGCCTCACCGCATCGGCAGCTCGCAGCCGAGTATGAATTACAGTACGAGGTTTTGTAATCACGTCACTTTGAAGTAAGGTTTAAGTCAGACAAGTAAAATTGTCAACATTTGATGCTCAGTTCGGAGAATGGGGGTGTGCAAAATAAATCATACTACACTTGCACTTTCCTCATGACGGTGCGAATTGGATTTGAGATCCACTTGAAAAAAAATACCAGGCCATGCTGGTTGTTGCATGCTGGTAGTTCAACACAGCTGACAAACGTGAGCTATGGGTAAGGTTTTTGACGCTCGCTGAATGTAAGAGGTGGTGGCGCTTCCCTCCCCGGGCGCCAAGCGGTCACGCTGGCCCCACTGGGCAGGAGCCGCCAGTCGCTGCAGAAGCCTCTCCGGTCGGCTCGCAGCGCCGCGTCCTCCACACAGGACGGCAACAGCCGGTCACGTGCCGTATCCCCCGCACCTCGCGTCCTCGCGTCCCCGCGGCCTTTACTGGCTCTGGTCGGCACGCTCCATCAAGTAGATGGGAGCCAGGATGCGAGTCTGGCTCGTCTCAGCCACGCGCCCATTCACCACCATCTCGTCCAACACCATGTGCACCTTCTCCAGGTTAAACATGATCTGGCGTCGCCGTGTCAAGGACTCACCTAGGCACTTCACAGACAGTATTCAGGCCATACTCTCCCTCCACCCTCACCACCACTTTAGCTTTTCCCAAGTACATGGCAAGGTTTATAAACATTAAACAACTGTATTCCTTACACTTCACAGCCATGATCGACAGTTGCTTTTAAAACATTCCTGTACAGTTCCTGTACAGTTACGTCAGTTATCAGGTTATCTGGGACATTAGACATAAAAGCGTGAACATCCAAATAGCTGAGTGTTTACTGAGTAACACAAACACGACCGCGTTACCAGTCATTGATGTACACGCGTGTAAACAAACACGCACAGCTCCTGGGTCTACGACCGAGCTGCTTCTCCGGGCGTGCCTACAGCCACTCGCATCCGTGTATGCGCACGTTGCGTTATTCACATGCTGCAGTGGAAACTCCCACAACACGAACAGACTGGCAACCCTAGAGGCTTTACTAAGTTTGTGCTTGAGCATGCCACATAATCGGTTATACGAACAAAATCAGCACACAACCGAAACAGGAGTGCTTCTGATACCAGCCAGAACTTACTGCTCGTAAAGCATCGTGAGCTTCAAAGGATACGGCAAGTTCACACTGAAAGGATGAGACAACAGCATTAGAAGTGCAATGTTGAACTGTCCAACTCAAATAGTTACAAAATAGAAATCATTATCAAGCATGTGGATACTAAAATGTCTGCAGCGCTCATGTGACCCAGTCACACAACATAGAAATTCTACATTCAGTATTCTTACACTATTCTACGTCTATATCATCAGCATGAGAATTAATTGAAATTAATGTATCAAAGAGCAGTTTCAAGCACTGGTAATATTTACTGTGAGATCGCCCATGGTAATATGCTACATTTTTGGTTTTCTAAAGATTGTCTTCATCACCTCTTGGCTTGACAATTGCATCTCTCTCCATGATAGCCTCCCCAAACTCCTCACTTCCAAACTCCAAAAGATCAAAAATGCTGCTGCCACTTGCACTCTTAAATAATACGAAATCAGCCCAACCCTTAAATCTCTCCACTGGCTCCCAATCCATTTTCACACCAACTATAAGATTGCCCTCCCTGTTTTCGCTCTGCTCCCCTTCATGTGTTCCCTGCGCCAGGGATAAAGGCTTTCTGGATAAACACTCAACCAACCTCCCTTCAATAGTAGGTATGCTCTTTCTCTGCTTTTGCTGCTGCTGCCGCGTGGCTGAGTGAGACACTCACCACGCGATTGAAGTACTTGTCCAGTGTCTCTATGAAGTTGTGAATTAGTTCGTAGATCTCCAGCTCATTCTGAAACAACACAGCCATGCAGCATGAACAGAGACGCAGCGCAATGTCACTGTGATACCGCTGCGCACTCTGATACCCAATACAGATGATTAGTAGATACTTGGCGCTGAAATGCCTCTTCGTGAAGTTTCTGGTGATTTGAAAGATATGAAAGAATAAGCCAGGATAATGCAAGTGTCCTATTAATATTTTCAACCCATATGCAAAACTGTTGGAAGCCTATCTTTATATTCTTTGGGTCTTTCGGTAAAGTCACGTAGATACACTAAAGAAAATATCTTTAGTGTGGGTGCCTCATATAGACACAGCGATGTGTTGGTGAGTGATATCCATCGGAACTCGGACACTCACTCCATCCTCGCCGGGTACCGCGCAGTTAACACTTCCTCTGGCCACACACGAGATCACAGACTGCTCTTTACAAGCCACACGCACCACGGCAGCCACGCATCATTAAAGCGAATGCCTACTCATCAGGGCATTGTTCACATCCCCTGTTGGCAATATATCACCGCAGAGTTAGACAGCTTAAGGAGGCGTGAAATGAATGCTTTAAAATTATTGCATTTTGCTTTTAAATTCTGGCACTATCCTGCCACCTCACCAATGATGCACATCCTGGGTTTTAAATCCTGGATAAAAGCAGCTGCAAACCAGCACTGAGGACACAGGCTGCAGCACCGGGGTGGTGTTCGGTGCGAGCGAGAGCCCATGCCGGCGGTGGGAGTAGCGGGATGTGCATGAGGAATACTCAGTGGGAAGTTGCTCACCTCTTCCGAATCGATGCCCACGATGCAGTAGAGCGCGGCGTAGCGGCGTGACACCAGGCGATAGTCCTTGTAGTCCACGAACGAGCACTGCAACAGCCATGGGCACAACCCTGTGCATCACCACCCACCGCGGAGGCCCGCACACTCCGAGCAATGTCAGTGCAATCGCAGCCGGCATCAATAACAAGCAATCATCCCCACACGTGTCTCCGTATCTCCCCGTATCCCAGAAATTTCCCCTGGCGTCCTGACAACCTGCCTTCCCTCCTTTAAGTTCAGGCTGCCTACTGAGGCAATACCTCCCATGGCAGAAGAATCTTCTGGTGGACTTTTTGTGACCTCGTGGAGGCTTCTTCTGTGGGCCCTTGGGCGGCAGGTTGATAGATGATAGGAAAACCCCTGCCTGTCAGAAACAAACATTCGCAAGACTGCGGCGTCTTGCAGCTAAAAGAATGAGTGGAACTGAGTTGTTCACTCGAATTTCTGACAACTTCTCATTGCTCAGTTGCCCTGGGCCCCCTCACTGGCAAACTCGGGTACCAGGAGTTACTGGGACAGGAAACTCTGAGACAGGGGTTGGCCGACTGGTACTACCTGGTAATTCTCACTGTTGCCATGACTCTGTGCAAACAAGATTTGTTTGTTTACCCTGGTCCTGATCATTGCCCTCTGAACTGTTCTCATTACCCTTTTAAATCTACCGTATACATATTGCAGGTGAATGCGCGTGACCGCTTTTGTCTGAAGGTGTAATCTCAGTTGTGGTTCTCTTGGCAGGTTCACTGCGAGGGAGACACTGAGACAAGATGCCTGTACATGCATTATCCATATACGAGCATACCTATCATCACCCTGGAATGTCTGTCCTTAATGCTCGTGACGCCACTCAACATCGACCATACCCCCTAATTAATATTCATGAGCAGGTGACGTCCTCCAAATGGACACCCCCTCCCCCATTCATAATAATTAGCGGCTGACGTCACTCCCCCCCCCTCGGCGTCACTTACAACCCTCACTACAAAGGCAGAGCCCTCACGTCACGCGATCTCCGTCACGCTGTTGTTGAGACATCAAAGTAAAAAGGACGTCGTGGTGAACAAGGGATTATAACCTTTAAATGAATGAAGTCTGTGTCACCGCGCCCTTACAAATTGCACACGAATGGATGCAATGAATATCAAGTCGTGGTCTGATTTTCGCTTGCAAGTTTCACATTTACTGCATTGCACCCGTCCTTGGACGGGCTAAAGGCGAGTTGTTTATATACTGGAGGTGATTGGGCTCCGTCTCGACAGCGGATGTTTGTACACACTTTTATTTAACTTGTGCTGCTGTTTATATTCTTTCATATATTTGACGCTGAATATCTTCGGATCTACGAAGCCTAACGAGCTGATATTTCTTGACAATTGAGATTTCATTCAAAGAACCGGTCCAGGGCTCGCCGATCCTGGGCCTCTGGACAATGATTTACGATTGTTATTGTCTGGATTGAGATCTTAGAATGAACATGTAATATACACATTGATTTTACAAGACTAACATATACATATTTTGGTTAACAAAAAAACTCGTTGCATAAAAAAATTAAACATATAGAATGTGATTAATTCTGGGGTCAAATTAATGTACATTCTACTTGTAAGTGCAAATAAAAGTGTGTGCATTGAAGAACTAGTTTTTTTGCCCAACTTATTGTATTAAGCCTCGCCGAGTTTTAAGATCGTTGTCAAGAGGGTCCTGCCGCGCCGTGTTTCGCCAGCAGAGGGCGACGCTGCTACTGTGCGCGTGATTTGCAGGTACTGTAATTGTATGTGTCATTATTTTCAGCATTCGGATGTATATTTGGCCAATTCACTCATAATATAGGGATTGTTTGGTTAAGATCGCGTAAATAGAAATGTGTCGTTAAACCCGCCACCACCCAACACAGAGAACTAGTAAGGTTAGTAGTAATGCCAATGCGTTACCCGTGCAGCACACGGTGTGCTGGAGAGCACTGCGGCCCCACTGTGTGTGTGCAAGCGTCTCGCCGAGAGCAGAAACCGGAGAAGAGGCTCCGCACAAAAGGCGCCCAAGCCTGGGGAGCGAACCCACAGGGCCCTTCTCGCAGTGAGCCGCCACCACCACTACCACCACCGGTGGTGTGGTGACCACCAGTGGTGGTAGTGGTGACCACCAGTGGTGGTAGTGGTGTGGTGACCACCAGTGGTAGTGGTGGTGGTGACCACCACCGCGACTGCTGCCATCCGGACCCTCCTTGGTGGCCCCTTCACAGCTGCCTGGGTGGAGGCGCCGCGGAGTCTCGCGGGCCCTGCCCCGTGCCCCCACTGCTGCCCGTGCCCCTCCTGCTGCTGCCCGTGCCCCTACTACTGCTGCCCGTGCCCCTACTACTGCTGCCCGTGCCCCTACTACTGCTGCCCGTGCCCCTCCTACTGCTGCCCCGTGCCCCCACTGCTGCCCGTGCCCCCACTGCTGCTGCCCGTGCCCCTACTACTGCTGCCCGTGCCCCTACTACTGCTGCCCGTGCCCCTACTACTGCTGCCCGTGCCCCTACTACTGCTGCCCGTGCCCCTACTACTGCTGCCCGTGCCCCTACTGCTGCTGCCCGTGCCCCTACTACTGCTGCCCGTGCCCCTACTACTGCTGCCCGTGCCCCTACTACTGCTGCCCGTGCCCCTACTACTGCTGCCCGTGCCCCTACTACTGCTGCCCGTGCCCCTACTGCTGCTGCCCGTGCCCCTACTACTGCTGCCCCGTGCCCCTCCTGCTGCTGCCCGTGCCCCTCCTGCTGCTGCCCGTGCCCCTACTACTGCTGCCCGTGCCCCTACTACTGCTGCCCGTGCCCCTACTACTGCTGCCCGTGCCCCTACTACTGCTGCCCGTGCCCCTCCTACTGCTGCCCCGTGCCCCCACTGCTGCCCGTGCCCCTCCTGCTGCTGCCCGTGCCCCTACTACTGCTGCCCGTGCCCCTACTACTGCTGCCCGTGCCCCTACTACTGCTGCCCGTGCCCCTACTACTGCTGCCCGTGCCCCTACTACTGCTGCCCGTGCCCCTCCTACTGCTGCCCCGTGCCCCCACTGCTGCCCGTGCCCCTCCTGCTGCTGCCCGTGCCCCTACTACTGCTGCCCGTGCCCCTACTACTGCTGCCCGTGCCCCTACTACTGCTGCCCGTGCCCCTACTACTGCTGCCCGTGCCCCTACTACTGCTGCCCGTGCCCCTACTGCTGCTGCCCGTGCCCCTACTACTGCTGCCCCGTGCCCCCACTGCTGCCCGTGCCCCTACTACTGCTGCCCGTGCCCCCACTGCTGCCCGTGCCCTTGGCCCGACTGCTGCCCGTGCCCCCACTGCTGCCCCGTGCCCCTACGGCTGCCCGTGCCCCGTGCCCCTACTGCTGCCCCTGGCCCCACTGCTGCTGCTGCTGCCCCGCACCTGGTCGCCGTCTCCGGCCCCCAGCCCGGCCCGCGCCGCCGCGGCCTCCACGAGCCTCCTGCGCGCCGCCCCGAGGCGCTCGAAGTGGCGCGAGAGGCGCACGCGGCCCTGCGCGTTCACCAGCAGCACGAAGCGGATCATCACGCGCCGCCGCCTCCTCCTCCTCTCCCAGAGTCTCTCAGCGTCTCCCAGCGTCTCTCCGTGCGTCTCTCCGTGCGTCTCTCAGAGTCTCTCAGCGTCTCTCAGAGTCTCTCAGCGTCTCTCAGAGTCTCTCAGCGTCTCTCAGAGTCTCTCAGCGTCTCTCAGAGTCTCTCAGCGTCTCTCAGAGTCTCTCAGCGTCTCTCAGAGTCTCCCAGCGTCTCCGCGTGTCTCAGGGCCCAGCCGCCGCCAGGGGCCCCGGAACCAGCATCACGGCGGCGACTCCGCACCGCGGCCCTCGGCATCGCTCAAGTTTAATGTCACGTTTAAAGCTCAACGAATACAGTCCATTATTATGCGTCCATTATAATAAATTACAATTCATTGTTTACACAATTGTGTCACGCTTGTGCCCGATCTCGTGAGAGCTCGCAAGCCCAAAGCGGGGGCAGTGACGGGCGAGTGAGCGCCGCGCTGTGGTCATCAGAGGGCATTGCAGCCCAGTCGGTGTTCTACTCCCCACCTGCTCCACGGCGCCAGTTACAACTCTAAACCAACATCATCATCACTACTATCAGCAACCTGCATGCAGCCTCCTTGGTCATGAACACCAAAGATATTTCACTTAGGCCTAAGTCAAGATTTTCAGAGCTAATAATCCCAATATACATTGCGGAGTGTCATTTGAAGGTGGTATCTAGATTTTGGGAAACGTGGCTTATTAATGCAAGAAGCCAATGGGTTGACACTAAACTAAATGCACAACCGCCATCCCAGCGTGGACGTAACTTCCAGGCTTTGTGCGTACGCACGACACCGCAGGAGAGGTGGACAAACGCTGCAGCAGTGTTCGATCTAAATTACATCCTGACGATGGGTTGACGTGCTTGCTCGAGCAAGGAGCCACTGCACACCTCGACCACCGATTACCCTCATCGCTAAAGTGTGGAATGTGTCCACGTTGTGCAGAAGCCCATTGACAACATCTGAAAGGGGTATCTCATTGTTAATTAATTGACTTAACCTTGGTTAAATCTGATTTATTCTCAAATGTTTTACACGAGTATTAACACAATAGCATTCCAATATAAGTAGATTGGAGGTTTAATGTTCTGCTAAATCTTGTACTCTTGCATTGATCAATAATGTTTTACTGTTGACGAAAGAATAAAAATCACTTTTACAACGTTTAATATCGCACAAAACAGATATAAAGCACGCGGTGACTGTTCACATATATCGCATTGCAGTCTTTGGATAAAAAGTAACTTAAGCATTTACTCATTCGTAATAAACTTGCGCGAAAAAGTATCAACCATCACCGCATGTGGATTTTAAATTGTGTGAATTTGACACCCACGATTACTCATCACCGAGTGGTGTGAATGTGAGAGCACAGATCCACTGGATCCCAGAGCTCCGTGCAGTCTCCAGGAACGAGCCCCGCCAGCCATCGAGGCGCTCCCTGCGGAGGGTTCAAGTCGCTCCGTTGCCCTCCGTGGGGGGCACCATTCACGCGCTCCTTCTGCCAATGAGGCGAGGAGCAGCGATGTGTCTAAACTTTAATTCGTTTTCTTTAAAACCCAGTTTGGATTGTACAATCGCTTTTCGCAAGATATTCCATAATCCTTCGGCTACTTTTGTGAATATTCAGCGCGTATCCCTCGACAACATAGTACAGCTGCCCTGTCAGAATACGAAATGCTTGCGAAGTCACCTGTTTGAAGGCATCACCACCCATGCACGTACATTATGAAGCGTGTTTACCCAGAATAGCTTCTACACGTTTGAAGACTTTTTTTTCTTTCAAGAGGGTCCTGCCAAGTTTACCAAACCGAGGGCGATGTTGCTGCTGAGTGTAACCCTAATGGAGTCAATTTGCGGGTACATTTTCAGCATTGGAATATTTATCCAAGACCAGGCTACATCATGTGTGCGTTCTTCACGTGATACTGTTCCCACGACAATGGCAGCCCGTGTAGCTGCCCGCCTGTCACACCGCCAACGCACATGAGCCCTGCGGGTCCGGCCCTCTGGGCTGCTGCCACTGCGGTCAGACCTCACGCCAAAACTTGCGTGTAGACACACAAACAATCGGAACCCCGAAATCTACACCAACCCCCTGCCTGGCTCCATGTTGTGACAAACATTCTGCAAACCTCACGGGAGCTTACACGTGATCTCGCCACGGACAACCTACCCATCAACCAAGACCTCAACAATGTACCTCACCGACCACCTACTCAGGTACCGCTCCCCCTTCTGAGATCACGCTAGAATGTAGCCAAGATCAAGAGGAACAGTGGAACAACGAGGACTTCCAGAATAAACACCTCATCTGAGACCCATTGTACCCTCCTGGCTTTGACACTCCCCGAAGACACTGGCGTAACCATCACCCACATCATCAGAACATAAACACGCCGATGCACAAATTTCTTTCATAAATGAAAAATGTAAGACAAGCAACAGTATTGCGATTGTGGTCATGCAGTCCACACTGTGGACCATATGGTAAAACTGGTCTGTGCCCCTTCAATATTAGAATAGCAAAACTACACAAACCCTCTCTCCTAAAGCCCTCTCGACGTGGCTAGCAGTCCTCGACATTGGCATCGAGCTCCTAAACACATTGCTGCTCCCATCACACGTGAGCAGAGAATAGAACCACACTCTCCACCTGCTCTCACCGTACGCCTGCGCACGGTCACCGACTCCGGTGTCAACACGAGCTGGAGGTGGTGAAGGTGGTGTTTAGCGCAGCCGTCGGTGATTTGGACAACACCTCCAAGCTCTCACACGGCATGCACGATATCACTCGCTGTACGCCCAAGAGCTTGGGCTCACTATTCAAATAATTACACAGCTGACAGTGATGTGGAGCTAAAGCTACACGTCGACCTTGAGCAATATACTGCCTGTGGTTCTTTAGGCCATATATGTATAAAAATAAAACATGTTTGTAAATGTCTTTTTTTTATATAAAACACACACACGTCGTCACTCTCAACACAGCACAACGTATTTGAGCGTTTCCCTCGAAGGGATATGCAATCACAGTCAATGTGTAATCCTCTACGTTTAGTAAATACTTTTTTTTAATATGTGAATTATTAGATGTAAAACACGACTAATAGAGTGATAGTTCTGAAATGTTAAACTAATTGTGCATTGTGTGGAGTGAAGCCGGTGCAAAACTGGGCTCCCAGGGCTCTGCTCAACTTGGCCCCAACTCACGTGGGTCGTTGTCATGGCAATGAGAGAATATAATTTAGCAAGGTGCAATTCATTTTATTTAAGACGGTAATGAGATGTTTAATTGTAAAAAAGTTATTCATCTGTCTTTATGAAGACAAGTGACTAATTTTTCTTACTTATTTTACATGTGCGTTAAATTTATTATTTTAAATCTAAAATTCCTCTTTTGCGTTATAGGCTAATCATATTTCTTTCCTGGATCTTTGCTGGAATTAGTTTGGCAAGTGGGGCTCGGTTATCCATGCAAGCGGGGAGGGCAAGGGTCAGGTCTCAGATCGCCCCAGTCTCTGCCCAGCCAAACAGAAGCAATGGAGCTGCGGTGTTTAATGTGGGATGTTGCCGAACATTTAAACCGTGCAATATAGTGACGTGTTGGAAATGTGCAAAAAAAACACATCAGCTTTCTTTTCGCACTCTGCACAAAATAAATCCTAATTTCTCGTTGATTTTTTTTATTGGGGAGGTTTGTCATTGAGTATGGTTCCCCTAAACAAGTCTGCATACATCGGCTGGAAATGTCCGTGCAGTCCCTAGGGGATGGGGGACCGGTCCCGCGCTTGCTTCACCAGACGCGGCACGCCTGCTTGCCACGGTTCATCGTGCTGCCTTCCGCACAGTGGAACGCGCGGGCAAACTCCGGAAAGTTACTCATCGATCCCAGGACTCTGCAGAAACAAACAGCACCAGCACGCCACACACACACACACAAACTTAGAGACAGAGATCCACCGTGTAGCCCACATAGACAAGTGCTGTTAGCGAGCACCTATTAAGTCTGGCATGGCACACTGAGCGGGTGGTATGGTCAGAATCACGCCCGGCCGTCTTGTCTCTTCAATGCTGATATTCACACACCAAAACAGGCAGTCGTTTTAGGCTGAGTCGACCTAGAAGAACGCAATAATAATTTCAAGTATCACGGATGTTTGCCGTGATCTGTAATTGAATCTAGTTTGCCAGGTTTCAAGTACAGTGCTTGTTGCCCTCACTGCACCACCACTACATACACCCCGACACAACGTCACGATGCTCACCAGCGGACGTCGGTCATGTAGCAAGGCAAAGCCCACCGGGGTGTTGATGGTATAGTCACCTCGATTCTAGTTTAACATGAAGATGTTCTTGTGATCAAGCGGCTTCCACATAATCTCAGCCATCATAATATTGGGCAAATATTACAAAGACAATATAACTATTATTTCTCACGGGTGTAACTTGGCCTCAAAGTCAATTTAAAGTTACCACAACAGCAGAAATGGTGAGATTTTAACGGCAGTCCACCCCTAAAACAACGCGCTGAGCCAGCGTTCAGACTCCATGTCGAGGACAATTCACGCAGAAGATGCCTATGGCCCGGGCACAAGTGTGAACAGCGTGGCCGACGTTGTCGTCACCTGAACTCCGGAGGGCTGTGAGCCCCGACGAGCACCATCTGCCTGGCTTCCCCAGGCCGGTGTGCTTGGCACCGCACCTGGACACACCAAACCCACCACAGTGATACAGTTACCGCCACGCAACACACACGGCACGCATCAAATTACATGCCACATACATGCCACATACTACGCACCGCATAAATGTACCACATACTTAACACCATGTACCACATCCCGCATACCACGTAGCACACAGACTATAAAGGCTGGCATGGCGCATCGTCATCACGACGTAATTAGGATTCCACTAACAAAAGGGGAGTAATCTCATGAAGATGGTGCGTGCATGTGCCCATACATGTGCGTAACTGATGAAGAACAGCTGGTTGTGGGTCAGGTTGAGTCCAGGTAGCAGAGGCTCCTCCTGCCCACCCCGGCTGTCCTTGATCCATTTCCTATACGCCTACACAGACGCAAGCACGCAAGCACAAGACACTGAGACACACACAATCACCGCTCCTCGGCTCCTAGGGTGGAGGGATGGGGGCTGCTTGGCAAGGCAGGAACAGTGCACCAGGGGATCGTACGCACTGATATTAAACATCAGTCCTCTGTAAATCCCGTCAATATAGGAACACCTATGCGTACTGGTATCAATGTGTGCCATCCACATGCTCCCAGGCACAACGTCTTGCAGAGGGCACCTTTTGCTTCAACTCCTGGAGCTTTGTGGACTCACGTGGGTTTGCGGATAGGGGACTGATCTTAAGTGTCTCTGTTAGCATGCTTGTGTTTGAATGCTCGAGGGCATATAATAGGATGGCAGGGTGACACTTGGTAACTCTTGTACCTCACATCAAGAAGGGTCAGGATTTATTACCGACTTCGAGTGCCTTTCTGTGACGAGTTTGTATGTTCTCCCATCGTTCTGCATGGGTTTCCTCTGGATTTTCTGGTTTCCTCCCATAGTTAAACAATGTAACTGGCCATAATGTTGAAAAAATACCTCCAAATTTACTCAGTTGGGATTACGCATAGGAACATGACCCTGTGAAAACTTCGTAGGACTCTCCTGAAGAAGAGTATAGTCAATCGTTGAGGCTTTCCAGGGTTAGCAAGCATAATAATAACAAAAGCAGTCATGAGCAAGAGTGAAAATGTGGCCGCACATGAGCGAAGTGATAATCCTGCAGTCAGCATCACGTGGTTTGTGTGCGAGTGCCCTCCCTGTTCTGTGAGAACCTGGCTGCTGCCCTTGCCTGTACCGGGGATCGCTGTGCCATAGCGAGACTCACGGATGTGTTTGTCTCCCCGTGTCGTGGGTCCTTACCCTGAAGGCTTCTCGAACTCCCCCACTGTCGGCGATGTTCTCTCCCAGTGTCCTCTTGCCCTTGAGCTGCACGCCGCAGGACAGAGCCGATTAACCGCGTGTCCTCGCAGGGCGCATCACACCGAGCGCTCTCTGCGTCAGCTACAGACACACGCCGGGGAATCGGGGACGCGAAAGTTCCTCCCCGCTGACTACAGGCGGTCTGCGGTGCCGTGACCGGCAGGTCATGGGCAGACAACACTTTTAGAATCGGCGAGAGGATTCCCCAATCGCCGGCGCTGACAGTCAGGGCTCGACTGCACACATGAAGTGACCACTGGGGACCTTCGTCCAGCAGTAGATGATGAGGATGGTGGTGACGACGAGGCAGGCATGTTGTGGCGAGGCAAAGAATGCGTTGCCTATGGCGGATGGTCTGTGGTTGCTCACAGGCAGCTGCGCTTCCTTCCAGTAGTAGTTGTTGTACTGCTCGATCATGCACTGCGCCTTCTCAGAGAAGTGCGCAATCGATGCGTTGCTCCACCATTGGTGCAGGTTGCCATGTTTGTCGTATTTCCTTCCTGCAATGAAACGATGTGGCAGATCAAGTTCCTTGAGAAAGTGAAGCTTCCCCAGGGCCAGAGAGAGGCTTCCCTTCATCACCGAACAATTGTGGACTGCTGGCCCTCACAACAGCTCCTCTCCTGGCTTCACCCAAAACAACCAACACGGTTGTTTAGTTGTTTAGTTACTGCAGCTACATACTATTAACATTCCTTTCCTTTATTAATGCTACCCCTATCCCCTCCCTTTGATGATGCTAATCCTGCATAATGCACGGGCATAATATGACTTTGAAACCCCCCCGCCCACCTCCTACGCATTTCACAAGTAGTACTAATCACATACCTGCATTTCCCATAAATATGCAAAATTCCTCTTGATATGCAAATCATTTTATCAAGGCGCCCTTCCAACCCAGCTTAAATATACGCTCCAAGTGTGGTGGTGTTTCATTCAGACGCTGTCTCCCCGACAGACCTGGTCTTCACCTGAGGACGGCTGCTTGCGTTGTGGCCGAAACGTCGTGAGAATTATTTTATTATGTTTCATTTTTATTATTTTTATTATTTTATTACTTCCCTTCTACGTGACTTTACCGAAAGAACCAAGAAGATGAATCCCTGCAGTCACGAAAGCTTTAAATCGAAACCAACAAGGTGACACACAGCAGTGGACTCCACGCTGGTACCCGGTGCAACCCCACTCTCGCTTAGAACTCTCCTGTCAAATCACCTCCAGAGCTCCCTCCAACATTGACCTCAGGCATAACTTGGTGAACATCATTATTGCGCTCGTTTACTCAGCAATGCCTCACCGAGTCTCAGAACTCGTTTTCAGGAGGATACTTCCAGATTGTTTCAGTCGGTGGCAATGTTGCTGTTATATGAGATCCCACTTGAGTGATTTGCAGGTACATTTTCAGCAAAGGGATGTATAGCCAATACCAGTGATACGTTGGTGTTTTAGCTATAGGAGGTAACAGGGGTGAACCCAGAGGAAACACCTGCAGAACAGGGGGAGAACTCCACACGGAAAGGCACTCGAGGCGGGAGTTGAACCCCGGCACGTCTTGCTGGGAATGCACGAGCGTCACTACTGTGCCCCTCCCTGCCGCCACAAAAAAGCGACGAGAAATACTTTTCCAAATCTGTTACTGCCGTGCCGCTGGGCTGTGCATTCTATCGCTTTTAGTGTTGAGTAAAAGCAGCCACGACGAGACGATGGTGCTGATGGCGATGCGTGTGGTGCCGTCACCGTGAGCGTGGAAACCTCTTCTCACCATTGCTGTCGAAGCCGTGAGTGAATTCGTGTCCCACGATGACTCCGATGGCACCGTAGCTCAGAGACCTGCCAGCCCAGCCACAGCAGCACCAGTGCGCACGCTCACTGCACGCACGAGCCCCCCGTGCCGACACTCGCCTGCCCCGATGCTCGTGTTTCTATCCTCTATTCTCTATGCTGCCAAGCACCGCTATCCCTTTTCTACCTCGCGAATGTTGTTATGATGGTCCTTCATTATAGAGTTTCCTTCCGAAGGCCCTCACATACCCAGCTGCATGCCCAGTCCAGATGTTTTGTCTTCTAGAATTGATCCAATCAGACTTCTCCTCCCGCTCCCCAACTTTAGCGCTTCTTCAATACTCTCTATTTCTGTCCCGATGATTGTTTACATTCAGCGCCTCAACCTCATTTCACACCTCAAACCGAAACGCTTTAGAAGTCTGCCACAACTTTCACTCCTTCGTTCCTCAACGTGCATCCATGATTACCTCACCATTGCTGCTCACGTCTATTAAATGGTGATGGGGACGGGGCGCATCCCTGTCGCACTCCTCTTCCCGCGACACCTTCATCTGACTCTCCACCTGCAACTCTGGCCACTGCTCGCTGCCCCCTATGCAATGACTTCACCGGCTGCCGTCTCTCCAGTCGATTCCCATTTTCTCCAATCATCGATCACACTCTCAAAAGTGTGTTCTCGCTGGTCACACTCACCACCAGAAGGTTCCTCTCATTCCGCACCCACTTCTGAAGCTTCTGCCTCAGTTCTCTGAGCCAGAATCATGTATATGATATTTTTAAACATGTGGCATTAATCAGTTTGCTTAGCACTCCGTAGACACACCACATCACGTGCCTTCCATTGTAGAGGGTTCACAAAGCATGTCGTGAAGCCTGCACGCCATTCTCATGGTGCATAAATATTCGTGCGTGCATCAATCAAATCTCTCCTTCATATTTATCCCAGTGCCTTGATCATCTCTGCTGGTAATCTCATGCCTTCCTGCTTCCTTGTTTCCCAGTCTCCCGTGGTTGGTGCCGCGAATGGCACCTGGTTACGTGATAGAAATACAACAGTCGCAGTTTCTCCTGGGCCCTCGATGGGCTCTGAGCGAACAGGGCCGCTGTCGAATTTGTGCGTGTGTGATGTACACCTTGCCCCATCGCTGATACTCACATAGGGTATTTGTCTCCCCAGAAAAAGGGCTTCTGCAATTCTCCTGCCGGAAACACTACGCGCACACATACAACGACAACCCAAAACCACCACCACACACGATGCCACACCACCGCCGTGTTCCCAGCTCCAAACACGCGGTCACTCTGACAATGTTGGATTGTAGGCGCAGCAGCAGCGTCCGCATCACCTGTGAGCTGCTGCCACTCCTCGTTGGTGGCAGCAGTGTACCATCGTCTTTTTTTCATTAAATCAAAAGTAATTTTTCCCAGCAAGATAATTTTACGCAGGTAAACTGTGGATTGGTGTTGACCTTCAGGCTCTCATCAGCAGAGTCAGGCCGGTCAACTGCTGCTGGGTTGCCCGATGTTTACTCTACAAATTGTGTGAACCATTCAACGCTAAAAAATGGACAGATCTACACGGGACGCCGTGTACACAGTAAAAAGTGACTTCCACAGCTCTAATCGAGTGCTCTTTGCTCGAATATCCCACAACCCAGTGCTCTCTGCTAGAACGTGCGTCAAACAGGGGCAGTTCGAACTAGGACAGGGATCACACGCTGCAATGCTGCTGGGACACATTGGCCCAGAAGGTTTGTCGCCTGAGGGACAAGGAGTAAATCGTGTTTTACCAGGAGCAATGCGTTTCCTCTCAGCTCCTCGTGTATTCCTTAACACCGGGGGCGCGCGTGTGCGCGGTTTGCCAGGCGAATTGGACTCTGTCAAAGGTGGGGACGCTGTGTGAGCGCTGCTGCTGTGCACAAGCTTTGTTAGCGATATCAACGGTGATGGGTGTGCTGCCGTGTGTGTGTGCTGCCGTGTGTGTGTGCTGCCGTGTGTGCTGCCGTGTTTGTGCTGCCGCGTGTGTGTGTGCTGCCGTGTGTGTGTGCTGCCGTGTGTGCTGCCGTGTGTGTGTGCTGCCGTGTGTGTGTGCTGCCGTGTATGCTGCCGTGTGTGTGTGCTGCCGTGTGTGCTGCCGTGTTTGTGTTGTCGCGTGTGTGCTGCCGTGTGTGCTGCCGTGTGTGTGTGCTGCCGCGCGTGTGCTGCCGCGTGTGTGTGCTGCCGTGTGTGCTGCCGCGCGTGTGCTGCCGCGCGTGTGTGCTGCCGTGTGTGCTGCCACGCGTGTGTGCTGCCGTGTGTGCTGCCGTGTGTGCTGCCGCGCGCTGCCGCGCGTGCGCTGCCGCGCGTGTGCTGCTACGTGTGTGTGCTGCCGCGCGTGTGCTGCCGCGCGTGTGCTGCCGCGAGGCTCACGGATCTGGTTGGTCGTGGCGCTGTAGAAGGCGTTCACAGTCGTGGGGTTGGTGTACCACCTGGCAAAAAGACAACACCACGCTTTGAAACGCAACAACCGCTTTAAAAATCCATACTCACCTTCATGCTAACCCCACTCGCATTCGTTTTGGCATGATTACGCTCATCTACACAGGCAAGCCTCACTGAGTCCCAAAACTCATTCTCAGGAGGGTCCTGCCAAGTTTTTGGAGATGAGGGCGATGTTGCTGCTGTTGTGTGTAATCCCAATTGAGTAATTTTCAGGTATTTTTTTAATTATTGGGATGTTTGGCTAATACCAGTTACATTGTATGATTTTTGTCTACAGGGGAAAACCGGAGAACCTGTTTGCCTCTTATTTTTTCTTCAAATCTGGACATGAGGTGATTCATGTGTCCCTTAAATACAACACACACAGCCCAAGTGATCAGAGAGCTCAGGCAGCAGCAGCGCATGACGGTGTTCATGGCACAGCCAGCACAAGGAGGGAGAAAGCAATGACAGCATGAGGGTGGATTTGGACACGCCGCCGTTGTGTAATAGTGTAGAGAGAATGTGACATCTTACACTGCAGAGTCCACAGGCCAGCTGAAGAGACAGCAAAGTGAGGAATAGTCAAGCAGAGATATCCAAAGCATGTAAACAACCTCCCTGCCACAGACGTCACGAGGTTCCCAGGAAGTGTGCCCCTGCCCCCCTTAGAGTGAAGTGTGTAAGTAAGTATGCCGAACTTCTATCGCACCGTACGTAGCCAACCGTTCTAATCGGAGGTGTGGAAGTGTGTGATGAGTGCCCCCACGTCTTGCAGACTCCTGACTGTGCCGCGCGTGGCTCAGAAACCTCGAGCGTGGCGACCGACTGCCGTGCCACAGTCACGACACGCGCTTGGCTCAGGCCAAGAGTCGTCGCACGAATGAGAGATTTGATTCTGGCTAGATTTGTCGCCACAAATTATATGCTCGTTCTAAGGGGCACGCGTAGCAGAATTGATCCAGGGAGCCCAGAGGTAGGGAATCAGATTCCTGGAATCGACAGCCTTTGGCCATGAGAATGGAATGGGGCGGCCCGATGTGGAACCGCTCAGCGTTGGTGCCTCTACGCCCTTGCTGGTGTCTGGCCTCCCTGTGACGGGACAGGACGCCGCCCTCCCACGCAGGCGAACAGCTGCAACGGCAGCCACGCGTCTCTGCAGGGCGGTGAGGGGTGTGTGGTGAGGGGTGTGTGGTGAGGAGTATGTGGTGAGGGGTGTGTGGTGAGGGGTGTGTGGTGAGATCTGAGAGGTGTGCGGTGAGGGGTATGTGGTGAGAGGTGTGCGGTTGGAGGTGTGTGGTGAGGGGTATGCGGTGAGGGGTATGTGGTGAGGGGTGTGCGGTGAGGAATGTTTGCTGCTCACTCTGTCTTTGAGACGCGTCTGCGCAGCCAGTGGAAGTCGTGCTGAGCCATGTTCTGCAGCAGCTGCAGCACGTTCCCAAAGTAATCATCCTCCCTCAAGCGCAGCTGAGGAAACACACGACACCACACTCACCTGCACAAGCCATTACAAATACTCACCTGCACACGCCATCACACTCATCTGCACACCCATTATACTCACCTGCACACGCCATTATACTCACCTGCACATCACACTCACCTGCACACGCCACCACACTCACCTGCACACGCCATCACACTCACCTGCACACGCCACCACACTCACCTGCACACGCCATCACACTCACCTGCACACGCCACCACACTCACCTGTACACGCCACCACACTCACCTGTGTAGAGGTGTAATTGTGTATGGGCACGGATGGCTAACAAACACAAGGGGCGTGGTTAGGGCCGTACACAGAGGAGGTGCTCACACCGACGTCCGCACCTGCATCCCCCACGGGCTCCTCCCGGGGGCCGAGTGCTATAAAAGTTGGTGAGCCGGAGGGCTCGAGGTCGAGTAGTAGCTTAAACCAGCAAAGACTGAAGACCAGCTAGAATAGGCCCCGGAGCTCCCCTGGCTCGCTGTCCTTGTCAGGGCCGACCAGGGCAAGCCGGTGGCGTGGCCCCGAGAGCCCAGACTGACGTTCTTATAAGAGCCGGTCTGGAGACTCAGGGTGCCGGGATCCCAGCTTGACCAGGGCTGGGATAGGTAGCCTCCCCTAGCTCCGTAGTGGAGGACTTGGGCGTAGGTTAGCGGGGTTAGATGTTGTGTCTCCCTGTTAGCCGAGTGAAGGGGACGATACCCCTTTAAGTACTGTGTGTACCCGTTACTGTGCACAAGTTGGTGTTAATAAATAAGTGTGCCTCCGACCCCGTCGTCAAAGCCTCCTGAATACTTACTACACCTGTACACGCCATCACACTCACCTGCACACGCCATTATTTGGGCGTCAGGGTGGCGCAGTGCTAACTCTCGTGTCTCACAGAAAGAAGGCCCTGGGTTCGATTTCGGGTCCCTTTCTGTGAGCAGTGTGTACGTTCTTCCCGTGTGTGTCATGAGCTTTTCTCTGGGTGCCGCAGTTTCCTGCCACCTTCGATAAGCACGGTTGGCTACGTACGAAAACTTGGCAGGAACCTCCTGAAAAAGTCTTGATACTCTGTGAGGATTTTGTGGGTAAACGCACATAAAGTAAAACCGCAAAAGTCATCCTGTTCTCGACCAGTTATTCCTTGTACCGCTCCCACCTCTACCCTGCCACCATCATGGCTGATGGAATCAGAGTTGCAGGTCACTGAGGCCTGTGGTTCAGGCTACATGACCCCTATGGATGTTTTTATTACATACAGGACATCCTAACGATCACCGCACCATCAAATTAAAACAACAGAATAAGAGACCACATTACCATTTTGACTTCTTCATTGATGTACGTATTATTCTTGATGTAGTCTGGATATCCCACCCTGGCCAACACTGCATCAGCCTACATGCACAGACACACACGCAGCCCGTGCAACTCAAGGCCAAAAAGCACTCGGGTGAGGCACACGCGTTCCACGTGGCAGACTGTGTTCCACACATTACAGGTTACACACCTCACTGGGCACACCACAGGGCACACCACAGGGCACAGACAATGTAACGGGACACACATTGCAGCACAACGCACACGTGTCTCGTGTTGACGTGTACACAGCAACACTACAGGCTACAATAAGCATATTATTATACAACTCCTTATTTATTAATTTTGATTATCTAGGAATTAAAGTAAAGTTAAATACAGATGTAGAATAATAATAATAGGTGCACTGCCCTCCTAATCACTCAATGTGGCTTCTATTCATGGGTCTGTAGCATCTGTTCCATCCTCCACCCTCTCTCTGTCTCCCCTCCACCCTCTCTACTCTCCACCCTCTCTCTGCCTCCACTCCACCCTCTCTCTGCCTCCACCCCACCCTCTCTCTGCCTCCACTCCACCCTCTCTCTCCACTCCACCCTCTCTCTGTCTCCCCTCCACCCTCTCTCTGCCTCCACCCCACCCTCTCTCTGCCTCCACCCCACCCTCTCTACTCTCCACCCTCTCTCTCTCTCTCCACTCCACCCTCTCTCTGCCTCCACCCCACCCTCTCTCTGCCTCCACTCCACCCTCTCTCTGTCTCCTCTGCACCCTCTCTCTGCCTACACCCTCTCCACCCTTTCTACTCTCCACCCTCTCTCTGTCTCCACTCCACCCTCACGTCATTCTATCGCAGTGCCACTGGGCAACTCGGACCGAAGCGCGTCCACGCACTGGCGGTGGCTTCACGTGCAGCACCTTGTCAGTTGCCTTCTGCTTGGTGGGCACATCCATCCAGGTGTTCTCGGTCTCCAGCATGTCCACAAACGCCCAGCGAATCCCATCGACCAGCTTCTCCATCTGGGGACAAGCGTAAGACAGACACACAAACATATTCCACCGACTACATTGTAGCAAATTTTGATGAGAAAACAATAATGTAACACCGGCAGTGTGAGCTGCATGGCTACCAGCTCCTTCTTCTCCTCTTGGAAATGGGCATCCACAAAGAGTCGTCCTGCGGCGCTGGGCATCATGGCCTCCACCAGGTTCACGCACAAGTCCCAGCGCGCCTGCACCGCGCGCGTGCCGATCACCACCTGCCGACGCGGGGAGGACATCAGTCGTGCCGCAACTCCCATCACCACCGCGAGCGTCGCAGGGACGATGTTGTGTTGGCAGCTGTACCGTGAAGTGAATGGGCACAGCGGCAGCTGAGTGAACACGGCGCTTGCCGGACTCTGCAGCAGCTGGGGCGAGGCTCACCTGGTGGAACTGCAGGTGTCTCTGCAGGAACCTCTGGCTCAGACTGCGCACCCTGTTCATCACGAGCCGTCCTACCACGTAATTCGCCACAACACTGAAGGCACAAGGATCACACGCTTCGTCATATTGGATATTCCGTTTACATTATTTATTTTATGACTCTGAAAATCCACGTCTGTTTTGGCCATATGGGTTTTGGATCATACTTGGCTGCGCTGGTCAGTGCATATTGATGGGTTGGTAGGTGCAGGGTGATAGTGTGGTGGTGTGTGTTGGGTGGTGGGTTGGTAGGGGTATGCTGTGGTGGTGTGTGTTGGGGTGGTGGGTTGGTAGGGGTATGCTGTGGTGGTGTGTGTTGGGGTGGTGGGTTGGTAGGGGTATGCTGTGGTGGTGTGTGTTGGGGTGGTGGGTTGGTAGGGGTATGCTGTGGTGGTGTGTGTTGAGTGGTGTGTTGGTAGGGGTATGCTGTGGTGGTGTGTGTTGGGTGGTGGGTTGGTAGGGGTATGCTGTGGTGGTGTGTGTTGGGGTGGTGGGTTGGTAGGGGTATGCTGTGGTGGTGTGTGTTGGGGTGGTGGGTTGGTAGGGGTATGCTGTGGTGGTGTGTGTTGAGTGGTGTGTTGGTAGGGGTATGCTGTGGTGGTGTTTGTTGGGTGGTGGGTTGGTAGGGGTATGCTGTGGTGGTGTTTGTTGGGTGGTGGGTTGGTAGGGGTATGCTGTGGTGGTGTGTGTTGGGTGGTGGGTTGGTAGGGGTATGCTGTGGTGGTGTGTGTTGAGTGGTGGGTTGGTAGGGGTATGCTGTGGTGGTGTGTTGGGTGGTGGGTTGGTAGGGGTGTGCTGTGGTAGTGTGTGTTGGGTGGTGGGTTGGTAGGGGTGTGCTGTGGTGTGTTGGGTTGAGATGTGCTGGCTCAGCACCGCGTGTCTGTGTGTCCCAGCAGCTCAAAGAGGCTCTGGAAGTAGGTCGGCACGCCGACGAGGACTGGCTCGGAGGAGTTGAGGGCGTTGAGCTCCGGGTGCCTCTCCTGCGTGTCGATCGCAGCCTTCATGAAGCGCAGCCAATCGAACTGCACGCAGCACCCCGCAGACTGCGCATGAGAACACTGCGACGCGTAGGACGCCCACCTGAGATGCTGGCTGCCCTGTGAGTCGAGCTGGTGATGAAGGCGATGGCAGGAGGAGCATATAGAGGGGTGTTTGACCAATGTCTTGTGTTGACACGGGTTCACCAAGCCGAAGGGAGTGTGTGTGTGTTTGCTCAAATTATTTCAGATTTTATTAAAATCAAATCGGATTGATTTATGTACCCTGATCACACGTGTGGGCGTGGGGGTAGCGACCGAGTGGCAGGGCAGGTACCTGCGGGAGCAGGTTCTGCAGTTCGGCCACCGTGTAGCGGTTGTAGAGAGCCTCGCTTGTGCGATTCTCCCTCGGGACCAAAATCTGAAAAATCAAACGGCACCGAGGCAGCTGCCTGGCTCGACACGGCAACAACGCGCGGAGGGCAGAGTGCGTGGGAGCAGGGTGTGTGGGAGTAGGGTGCGTGGGAGCAGGGTGCGTGGGAGCAGGGTGCGTGGGAGCAGGGTGCGTGGGAGCAGGGTGCGTGGGAGCAGGGTGCGTGGGAGCAGGGTGCGTGGGAGCAGGGTGCGTGGGAGCAGGGTGCGTGGAGCAGGGCGCTACGCGAGCCGGCTGGCTACCTACGTTTGCCAACTGCACTTCGAAGTTGAGGATGGCGGCCATGTCCTCGTGCGCGGTGCGCGACTCGGCTCCCAGCATCAGGGCGATGTCGACCAGGAGGCGCAGCAGCGCCTGGCGGTGCTGCACGGCGCACACGCGCCAACAGGCTGGCAGCGGCAAGGGGTGCGACCCCCTCGTGTGCGTCCTGCCCACAAGGGGGGCACTACAAACCCCTACACCCTCAAGCAATAGTGACGGAACTTACTACACGGCTGACTAATACCAATGCTTAGGTGTGTAAAGTATATGTATAATGTTGGCAACGACATACTTTCAAAATCAATATGCATACGTTTTATTTTAATTATACGGATACATTTATTTAATTTAGCTGCGTATTTTAGTTGTGAGCGGGTGAGAGTTGGAGCGCTGGGGATAGGAGCTCACGCCGAACGCACACGAAGCATTCGCGTCGACTGTGGCTTCACTCTCACTGGGTGAAGGCGATTCACAGTGCTCCCTTGTGGGTCAGCATGAGAGTTGCATTGACACGAGCGAGCCTGACCCCGGCCACGAGGGACCCACGAGGAGCAATCGGAACAGAGGACATCTCAGGGCCCACCGAGGGAGCCGCCGTCATCGCTTCGCTCCTCCAGGGTCTGGTGAACAAGCAGGCCACAGCGAACTCGAGGGACCTGAACATCAGACAAGACGTGGGCACGCAGCCCCCGCACCGCCGCTCCGAGACTCACAGTGACTGCCTGCGTGCTGTTGGTGGTGTAGTCCTCTCTGGCTGGAAGGATCAGCGAAGCCTGGTCAAACTGCGGACAGAGAAAAATTCCGGGATGTGACGAGCGATGGACACGAGGAGTGGCAACGTTCGATCGCTTTCCTCCGGGAGAAAGGAAAGGCGCGTTTCCTCTCCGACTCTCGTTACAACATCAGCAGCAAAGGCGGCTAATCAAAACAGTCTCAGTTTGGTGCAGGTGAAAGACATTATTGTGGAGTCTGAAATAAACTGTTACAAAGCGAGTGGTGCATCACGAGTACCACGCGAGCCTCACCTTCAGGATGTAGTGCGCCGAGCTCTTGTCGTCGGTGCCCAGGTGCAGGGACATGAGAATGGAGTGGCTGAAGTTTCTGCTCAACACGGCCAGCGTCTCCCTCAGGTCGAAGGCGCCCGCGTCCCACGGCGCCGCCTCTGCGGAGGGCTCTTGGTGGGGGCATGGAGCGAGCCCCCCGCTTGAGTCGCCACATCCGACGGTCGAGCTCAGGACCGGCCAGCGCAGCATTGGGTGGGACAACAGCTGCAGTAGCGGTGCAGTGTCCAGATCCTCGATGAGGGCTGCAATGGACAGATGCACTCCGCTCTGATGGCCGTGTGGGTGTCGACTTCGGTGACGGCGGCGCGTTCGCGTGGGCTCGGTGAAGGCAGCATGGCGATGCCGGACCAAGACCACTCACACTGGATGTGTTTCTGTTTAGCTGAGGGAGCAAACCGGACAACCGGGAGGAAACCCACGCAGCACAGGGGGAGAACAGACAAAGACCTCACAGAAAGGAACCTGGGTCAGGAATCGAACCCGAGGAACGTCTTTGCTGTGAGGCGCGAGAGCTGCCACTGGGCCACGTCTCTGCCGCCCACCTCGGTGTGAATGAACACGCGGTGCCCACGCGTCGCGATCGGTGCCAATGGCGCAGCCTGCAGCGCGGCACCGGCCTGGGGACACGTGGTCTGCAGTGACAGCAGCGTGTGGGCCATAGAGACACACGCGAGGTGTCACGCACTGTTATTCAGCAGGCCTGACTTTGCTGATGGGACCCAGAATGTCGAAACCAGTGACTGGATGCTGGATTCATTGACAGGCAAGGGGCGAGCTCTAGAGACAGAGGGGTTTCTCACGGGCAAGCACTTGGGGGGAAGGGGTTCTAGCCCGGCTGGTGGGAACTCAACAAGAGAGCACGAGAGAGCCACGCGTCCCAGAGTGACCCGGGTCACCAAAACGACAGAAGAAAGCAAAGTACAGCGATTAGATGGAAATCAGAAGAAAGGGAGAAACACGACGACCACACTCGTCCATGGGTGCACGTGTTGCTGGTGAACTCACACTCGTTCATGCAGGACCGGTACATAACCTTCGCCCGTCTGATGGCCTCCAGCTCCGTGTGCTCGTCGCCACCCCTCTCCAGAAGTTCTACAAGCAGGCAAGTCAGACAGCCACGAGTACCAACTACGTACAGAGAATTTCCGCCTTCGTTTGTCCTGTATTGTTACGCGTGTTCACTCAGGGACCACAATGCTCAATCACCCGCAATTCTGATTCCACCAACCCTGATGGTGTAAGCGATACGAGTCATCACTGGGCTAGAATAGGACGCCTTTTGATGTTTTATTTACTCGCTTTTATCCAGGAAATCATCACCGAGCCTCAACTCTTCTTCAGGAGGGACCTGCCAAGTGTTCGCCATCCGGGGCGATGCTGCTGCTACGTGTGATCTACGTGTGATCTAAGTGTGATCTATGTGTGATCTAAGTGTGATCTACGTGTGATCTACGTGTGATCTACGTGTGATCCCAATTGAGTAATTTGCAGGCAAGTTTTCCGCATTCGGTTGTTTTAACCAAACAGTTCAATTTATGATTTAATCTACGGGAGTAAACCGGAGAATTCGGAGCAAACTCATTTAGAACAGGAGGAGAACATGCAAACTCCATCACAAAAGGCGCCCGATTCGAGGATCGAACCCAGGTGCTGCTTGCTGCAGGCACGAGCGTCACCACCGCGCAGCCTCCCCACCGCCGCCAATGTCTGCGGTTGTGCAGGAGGCGGGCGAGCGGTGGCCTCTCACCCTTGAGCTTCAGGTCCACCTGCTTGCGCACGTGCGAGTAGGTGCCGTGGGTGGAGGCGTCCTCGGGGATGGGGTTGGCGCGCACCCAGCCCGCGCACGAGAAGCGGAAGAAGTCGTCGCACGGATCCACGCTCCAGTCCAGCTTCTGCATCACCGCGGCCGCTACGCGCCGAGACGGGCGGGCATCTCATCAGCCAAGCCCCCCACGAGATCTGCTCTACGTGTATACAGCACCGGCATGTGGGTCTTGTAGGGATCGTGGCTATAGGCAATCTAGATAGGAGCAGCGTTTGTGGAGCTCCTGGAGTTGACCCAAATGTTCCCTTGGCACCACCAAAGTTCACTCTCCCCCTAGTGGTCAATCACTGCTGTAGCCCCCCCCCCCCCTGCCAACACAATATCTCTACCCCCCTCCCCCCCACCATTACATCTCCGAGGAGCTGCAGCCGGACTCGTCCCCGAAACATCTGAACAGGACTCACGCCACGCACCACCCAGGCACGCCGTACGCACCGCGCGGCATCGCGGCACCGTCTCGGCCCCGGGCGTCTCTCGGCAAGGTGCCGCCCGGCCCGCCACTCACCCCGCACCCCCTTCACGCTGGCGCAGGCTCCCCCGGCACGTACCTGCCTCCACGCACTCCGCTGCGGTGCACACGTCTGGAGGCGCGATCACGATTAACCTGTTGACGACAGCTGCACACAAACAAAAGGTGCCGTTACACCCAAAGGTGAGCGCCGTGCGCGCCGAGGCAAGCGCCTGTGCTCTGAGCCCCGCGCCAATACAGAAAACTCTGAAGTTTATGCCCGATTTGTGATGACGGTGCCGAATGCTGCTGACAATGGCCACAGGGCCTTCTTGGTGGGATAGCACGTAAAAACAATAACGAGAAGAGTAAAATAACTCGCAGTGCCTTTTAAGGAATGTGGATGAAATTCCTCCCCACGCTATCAGGGTTGTTGTTTACACTGCCCTCTGTGCGCGCATTCTTAAACTTTTCCTATTTTTGTGCAGTTGTTGTTGAGAGGAAATCAGGGAAAACACAACCGCGTTGTGATGTCAGAACAAGGGAATACACAATTACATCCACGAGGCGTTTAGACCATTAAAAGAACACAGCCTTAATCGCAAACGCATGCGTTTTGGAAGATAAGGACAGTAAATAGTCAATATGTTATTGTGGTGAAGGGAGAAGTTGTGCGGTTACAAAAGAACAAAAAATCCAGCGAAAATCTTTGCGTGATTTGATTCGAAAAAATTCTTGGAAAGAATCAGAGCCGCCGTGACTCCCCGGGGTGGGTGTGGGGGTAGAGTGAGGGGTGTTTTTCCCAGAGTGAAACGTACAGGGAGATGATGCATGGCCGGTTCACTGTGTTCCACATCAGCCCCACACCCACCCTGCAGACCACCCCTCCACAACCCCCACACCGACCCCCCCCCCCCCCCCAGAGCCCCGTACACACGCCCGGGTTGAGCCAGTCAAGTGCCTGGATGAAAGACTGCCTGGGAATACCAGGTGTCATCAGCTATTGGATGTGTGGGCTTTCTCCAACGACTCTGGTCTCAATTCCAAAAGCCAATCCGTGACGATTAAAATTTGCCCAAAGGCCCCAATGCTGAACTCTCATACAAGTCGTGAGATTTGGTGAGGATTTCCCCGGATAAATAAAGGTAATTATGTCATTATGACCTTCATCTGCTTCGAGGAACATCCAGGGACACAAAAAGACCAGATTTAGACGCCAATATTCGGTCAGGGCTGACGAGATTGGCAGCTAAAGGAGAGAAGACGCCCACGACTAGATCCACTGCAGAGGCGAAGTGCAGAAATCAGCTGATATTAATGAACTCTCACGATTGTTGAACTGTGAGACTGTAACATATGGCGACGAGATGGGGAGGCCATTATGTAGCATTGGATAAATTATGGCTGATCATGAAATTTTGAACAGTTGAAATCCAGCCAGACTCATAACAATTGCCTGACTATGGGAACACGTGTAGCATGACAATGTTTGCACAATCGCATCGGCAGTGTTCCGTCGTCTCTTGCAGGGTAACTGGGAGTCACAGTTGTGAAATTATTTTTGCCCTTTTAGTCTCTTGCCACAACTGTCCACATGACCTCCTGTGTACCCACTTTGAACATGTTTTATGTTTGAAAATATTTTCTCTTTTACTTTGTCTTAAATAGCCTGCGTTACTGTAATACTCGGCCATTGCATTATAACTCCGGAAACATGGCTCGTGAGGCCCACAAGAGGTCAAGCGCGGTGCAGGATGAATGCATGGGCAGTCGACGGCCTTCCGCCCGGCATGGATGTGGGAGCTGAACGGAATGGAACCGCTCCACTGAGTCGGTACTCTGGATGATGAGTAGGACTTCGTGTTCTGTGTTTGCTATAATAACAGATTGCCTGTCCTTGACATCTCCTGACATTTTAAACAAAACAGAATTGTTTAAAAACATTTCTCTACAGCCAAGCCAATTGGCAAATTTAACTCGTGCTGTTCCCATAGGCAAGGGCTTATGCGAGCCATGAAAAAATAGTTGACCCAGCAATTCATGAACACTGCTGATAACTTTTATTGCGCATATTGTCTTGGCTCGAGACACCGCCGCCGATCGTGATGATAGTTTCGCTAGACACGTGGTTTTAATTGTTAAATGCATTGCTGCGGTAATTGCATAACTGCTGCACTCAGTGATGAACGGCCGGCAGCGGTGGGTGCGGGTGCCCGTGGGAGCCACTTCGGCGTGAGCTGCACGCGGCGGCTGAACGCACGTGCGCGTCTTGAGTCGACTCAGGAGTTTAAAATAATCGACTTTGGGTTTCTTTACTCTTTGGTTCTTTCGGTAAAGTCACATAGGTAGAAAAAATAATAATAATGGGGTTCTTGTGAAATATCATCAGGAGTTTACCATTCATGCGTGCGCTGTAATACGCATGCGTTTATTTAAAAGAAATATGATTTTATTTTATTTCTACCCACGTGACTTTACCGAAAGAACCAAAGAGTATGATTTAATACTTGAACTTTATTGTAATTTACATGTTTCACTCAAACGACAGATGTATCAGCAAAGACCCCTCTCTATAAAATACGGGTCTGAGTGAAACATCGGGGGAATAACCACAGAGGCTGCCGTGACCAATACTGGGGGGAGGAGAGGAGGGAGGGGGAGGCGACATCGCGATTATGCTGCCGCGGGTGCCGTTCACTGCATAGTATTCTCATTTTTTCTATTCACATTGCAAGTAGGGTATGTTACGTTAACAAGATGGGATATAGTTTTAGGTTTGTTGTAATGTGTGGAATATCACTGGCCTCAGCGCGGTCTCCAGGGCCGCGAGCAATCAAGAGGCATTCAAGAGAGGCAGGACACCTGGCTTGATGGCCATCGAGGTCTGAGCGCGAACACCACTCCGCGCTCTCCAGGCTGCGTGTGCTCGATGGGACTGAACGGGATGTGAGCCTTGGTCCCCGACAAAACACAATTCATCCGGAGGATAGAAGCGCTTTAGAGTTTAAATTGTAGGAGCATGTTTGCGGATAGGATGGACAAGAAAATGATGAACAAGGAAGTTTAACAAATCATGGGACGGCCCAGATTGGCGCGAGACTTCGGCAGCGTGGAGCGCGAGGCTCTCAGGGAGCCTCTCTGCCGTCGCGCCTTCTCTTTGGGGAGGCTGAAGGGCAAAAGGAAGACAAAGACGGACGTGATTGTGGTGGTGGTGGTGGGATGACATCAATGATCGGACCCAGCGCAGCACGTTGAACACCGTGAGAGCTTCTGCCGAGTAGCAATATTGAAGATCGACCTCCAAGCACGGAGCTGACACCGATGGACCGGGCGAGGCGACATTTGCAGGACTCTAGTTTCCACCACGGACGCAGCCGATCGTGTGGTGGGGACAGGAGAGAGTTGGATGACTGATTTAGCAACGCCACGGCTTAAACTGCTCTCCGCAGATGCTCCGCACTTGACTCCTCGCTCTACCACAGAAGGGAGGAAGCCATGCCGACAGAACCCCACCACCGGGAGAAAACGAGCGCTGCTTCGAACGCAGAGATATTGTTCTGGAAGGCAAGAGGGATTTCCACCCCTTCAGAGGCTGTTGCCTAAGGAAATGAGAATGTCTGCCGGGGGCGTGAAGAGATCCACAGGGGCACGGTGGCACAGGGGGAGAAGTGAGGAGGAGTGTTGGTGAATGTGCGCTTGTGGGATGGAGAGCCTTGCGCGTGTGTGCTGCATGGGAGAGCTCCGGGGCTTGTATTGTGTGCTCAGACTTTGTGATAATTGTTTTGGGAAATTATGGAATCTGCATTTCCAAGTTCACTCGTGTGTGAGCTTATTAATAAAACAGATGCTCTTCTACTGCTCTTGGCGTGTGAGAGGAAAAACATAGTCTGGAAAACAATATACGGCAAAATATTAGGTGAAATATCAACTTAAGTCGAATGTCATATTAAGGCTCAACGGTGACATTGCCCAGGATGTGCATGTGGGGTCACATTACAAGCTGAGCTCGGTATCGCCGCGTGAATAATCTGTGCAGATTGTGCGCGGTGGAAGTTGTCGGCTGACATGTCTGTGGTGTATCGCTTCCTGGACTCACCTCGAGTGGTGTTCACTGAGTCACTCAATCGGGATCGCGCACAGCGATATCGCCCCGACTATGATCATCCGGCAGACTGTGTGTGTGTGATTGCCTTGCACTATAAGGATGGCGAAAATACCAAATGCATTCAATGAATAAGATTCCGTATTATCCATTATTCAGTGCTGCTTGATTACTGTTCTATACTATTATTAATACTTCGCTTGTTTCCCAAGGCAAGCATGAGTCTCAACGCTTCTTTCAGGAGGGTCCTGCCAGACCGTCGCAGTTGGGGGCGATGTTGCTGCTGTTGCTGTGTCATCTCAATGGAGACATTTTCAGGTAAATATTCAGCATTGGGATGTTTGTCCAATACCTACAGTGTGTGTTTGATTTTTAGCTATTAGAGGAAATCGGAGAACCCGTAGGAAACCCATGTTAAACGTGTGTGCATATTCTGTATTTGAATTGCGGTGTGATCTCAATATTTAGTTGCTTTACTACAACCCTGAACCGTGGTGAAGATGTGTATTTATGAACCACAACACTTTCTATTCACAGTACAGATCGTGGTCTTCTTGTCTGTAGCAGAACATGTGGAGAAACGACCCATAAAGTACCCACCCACGAAGCGGACTGCGCAGTCAAACGCCCGCAACGTTCACCCACGTCGCTCCGAACCGCATAGAGAGCAAACGAATGACCTTCCGCACGGGGGCACGGCGCGCACAGCCAGGAGGTCACCGTGTGTGTGTGAGAACTGCCCGCGCAGCTCCTGCCCGTTCCGGTGCTCCTGCGGGAGTCGCCGGGCCCCGTGTGATTTATCCTCGGGGTCGTTCCGGAATGCGTCTCCGTGCATCGCCCGCGATGCCGATCGGCTAGGGACCAGCGGAGTGAACGATGGCTTCCTGTTCGGCTGGCTGATGCCAGACTCAACCCCAAGGGGGGTTTCATGCCGGTCTCACGTTATTTTGTTTCTGTATGAATTCTTCGGCTTATTTGTGTTCGTAATGCCACTTTTGTCGTGACTCTGGTCGGTTATTGACGAGTGTAAGCGACTATATCTCAGCACAGTTCACCATTTGACAACCTGTCCAGTGCTGAATCAGTGTTGTTGAGGGTTGGTGGTGGTGCGTGGTAGGGGCACATTTCTTGCACCTTGATGGCTTCTGTTATTCTCTTCCCAAGCGATCTGTGTGAACTATATTGATTCGTGTGATGAGAGGTGAATGGCCCTGTAATGTTTAAAGTCAGTTTTTAAGAGAATAGTGATTGTTGCGTCATTCATTGCTCGAGCCGTCTAATGTCCACGCAAACCCAGAGGTGAAACAGCCGTGAATCGTGCAGCGAATGGAGCGGGGAGCACGGGGCGAGTCAGACCAGGCACGGGTGCCCAGCGCACGGGTCCGCTGGCTTCTGTGGCTACTCTGTGAAGGCGAGATGCCGCGTATCAGTTCGAACATTGGACAAGACGAGATGGGACTTGGTGAGGGCCAATATCGCTATCTCCTCTGACGCCTCATTTGGATGCGCCAGCTGCCAAGGCTATGTTGAATGGTTCTTGCGAGGATCTTCCTGGCACCGTTACTTGCATGGAGGTTGAATTATTCCGTGCTTATTTTATTTAGTCTTCGTGTTTGTAACTCTGTTTTATTTCCTTTTTTGTATGTTCTTTTTCCATTGGGGTTTGTCAAATGCTTTGTTTTGAGCTCACACAATTATTAAATGCGGCCACGCCTGTGCTTGTTTCCCTGAGTTATGCGAAAACTCGACCAGTCCCGCAGCCACGCACACTTATCTTGCTCTCGAAACAAGCTCTCACTTTAAACACTGGAATGCCACGGAAAAAAATGGACGACAAATCAACTCACAAAATCCATCGTGGATTTCGTGTGGGAGGAATCCATAGACTAGCAAATCCGTCCACACAAACAGCAGCCACGGTGAAGGCAAATCACCAACACGACGTCCACACGGACAGCCCTTTGTAAGTCCCCTGCTGGGTGAGGGCTTTCGCACGACAGGCAGATCGTGCGGTGTTTTGAGCATACTTCACCACGCTGGTCTGTGCGGGTTGTGAAGGTAGGGAGTATGGTGCGGGACAATTGCTCCACTGCTCTCCCACTACCAACAACGTCGCCCCGCAGCCTCGAACAGCCGCCACGCTCGGTGGTCGCCCGTTCACGCGCGCTCCCACCTCAAACCGCTCGTCTCATGAGATCGGGCGCGTTCAAGGTTGATTTCGCCAACTACATTTACACTATACGTGGAGTAAATGCAGTCCACGGGGACACAGGGGCACGGAGACACGGGGACACAGGGGCACGGAGACACGGAGACACAGGGACATGGAGACACGGGGACACAGGGGCACGGAGACACGGGACAAGGGGGCATGGGACACGGAGATACGGGGACACGGGACAAGGGGGCACGAGACACGGGGAAACGGAGACACGGAGACACAGAGACACGGGGACACAGGGGCACGGAGGCACGGAGACACGGGGACACAGGGACATGGAGACACGGGGACACAGGGGCACGGATACACGGGGACACAGGGACATGGAGACACGGGACAAGGGGGCATGGGACACGGAGATACGGGGACACGGGACAAGGGGGCACGAGACACGGGGAAACGGAGACACGGAGACACGGGGACACAGGGGCACGGAGACACGGAGACACGGGGACACGGGACAAGGGGGCACGGAGACACGGGGCACGGAGACACGGGGACACGTAGACACGGGGCACGGAGACACAGAGACACGGGGACACAGGGACACGGAGACACGGGGCACGGAGACACAGAGACACGGAGACACGGGGCACGGAGACAGTGGCCCCAGGAGCGCTGCTCGGGCAGGGAACGCGGCAATTCCCATGAGTGACACTCCTCACCCACCCACCCACCCACTCACCCCCTCGCCTACCCCGAGTCAACACTCACCTACACTCACTGCGGCGCCGTTAGACTTCATGCTATTTATCGGAAAAACACAACTTTTGAAATCGACTGGATGGAAGAGCACGCGATTGTAGCAAGGTGAGCGAGGACGCGGGTGAGATGAGCGATCGACTGGGACATTCACGCGACGCTCGAGAGACGGAGTCCCCTCACCGCTGGAACTCGCAGCAGCCATCCTCGTCGAGGAGGTCGATTCGTTCATTTGAACTTTTCCATCTTCAACTCTTTCGCTCTAAGGCGCGCGGAGTTGGCTCGTAAACAAGCAATAGCAACGACACCTCACCATCGCCTCGCCATTATCTCACCACCAACCTCACCATCACCCCAAAACCTCGTCCCTCACCTCCCACCATCATCACCCGCCGAGTCCCTTACCGAGGATTCCGAAGATGATGACGAACGCCATGCACAGCGCAGCCCCCAGCGCACAGGAGCCCGCTCGAGCCGCGGACCCCCTCGCCGAGCCCCCCCTGGCCGAGCCCCCCCTGGCCGAGCCCCCCCTGGCCGAGCCCCCCTCGCACTCCGTGTCCCCTCCGGGCTCCATCGCCGCTGGACTCAGAGTGAGGATCCGCGCGCCCCCCCCCCCCCGCGCCTCCCCCCCCCGCGCCTCCCGCCCCCCCCGCGCCTCCCCCCCCGCGCGATAGGCGGAGCTGTGGGGGCCGTTGGCCCCCGGGGTCCCTCCCGCCTGCATCCCCTATTCCGTTGACGTTACCCCACCTCCCTATTACCCGCTACGGTTTCGCCGGCATTCGAACACGACGCCCCTACTGTTACAGCCTCGCGCCACGCTCCCACGCTGCGAGCATACGTGCGCACATCATCATCATCAATCAAACGCCACACTCCCCCTCTTTACACCGCGACGTACAGCTCTCGCACGCTGCGAGCGTGTGCCCGTCTATAGCCCTGTGCGGCACGTTACAAATGCGCATCCGTATCCGACACGTAACGAACGTATGCGCACTCACGCACACAGCTCTCCGCGGCACTCACTCACCACTGAATACTCGCGTTATGATCGCGCACCTGTATCACACACGGAGTGAACACACGCGACACCCACTCTCGCACCGCTCTGCGCAGCGTTCCCCCGAGGCGAGCCGCAGCACTACAGAACCACTGTGCACACACGCTCACCCACGCGCTCAGCTCCGCGCAGCGCTCACTCACCTGGCGAACCACTGTGCACACACGCGCACCCACACGCTCACACTACTCGACAAGATCACGCGAGGCCACGCTTCGCTATTAATGATTTATTATCTGCTACCTGGTAATTAATGTTTAAATCAGTGAGTCGACGAGGCTAGCCTATCCTACTTCCCCTGGACCTATTCCCTATTTATCGGCTTACGATACCCTACTTCACCTCCTTACTCCCTGTTAGATGCCCACGGCGCTTCGTTGATCCCGTACTCGCAGCGTGCCTCGATGCGTCTCACGGGCGTTCGGGTCGCTGGACTGGAGAGCGTCCTGTCGCCTGGCGCTGGAGAGAAGAGAGCGATTTCTCGTTTGTCCCCCCCTTTTTATCCTCCCGACATCAAAGGGATGCGGCTCCGAGCGGGAGGGCGTCCCTCAGCCCTTCCCTAACAATGGGCTCGCGCCGCCTTGCACGCGCACGGCGGTTCCGGGCGCATTTGACATGCTAATCAATGTGCGGCGTAAATTCTAATTTATTCCTTTCTCATGCATGGCGCCGTGCTCCGTCGCACCATGCAGCGGCGTCCATCACCACGGCGCGCTGCTGAAGTTAAGCGCGGAGCTTCCGCATGTCCCCACCACCTGCCCTATCAATTGCGCACCCTAAACTATGCCGCCCCGTCCCTCCTCCGCCTGTCTCGTCGACCCGTGGGGGTGTGTGTGGGGGGATGCGCCTCAACCGCGGTGGCCGAATGCCCCACGCCGCGACCACACCATATTAAGGCCGGTCGCAGCGCCGCGGCGCAACGTAGCACGGGGGAGGTCGTCCAATTCCCTGATCGCCGGAAACCGTGAGAGTTAATCCCGATAAGGGTTTCTCGGATAAAAACCGGTCGATCAGGTGATCTCCCCTTCCAGCTCTATGGGTGGGGAAAAATGCGTGCGGGTGTGTTCATGTGAGGTCAGGTGAGGGGGGCGAGGGGTTGGCTCCGTTGCTTGGTGGTGGCGAGGTCGGGGATGGGGCGCCTGCCGAACGGCTTCGTGGCGGCGGCATCACAGAGCACGTGGACTCGGGGGGGGGTCGCGATGTTCGCGACCCACGCGGCATCCACGATCATCGTGCCGCGGCTTCTCTTTACGATGTGTACGGATGTTGAACACACGCAACACACAACCATGAGTTTTCGATGTAGACTTTAGAGTGCATAGCTCCAATAGCTTCCTCATATTGTAAGATACATGGTTTCCATGATAATCGTAAGGGTCCGTATTTCTACATATCACACGGTATCGTGATCATCGCTTATTGTATTTAAACTATATATTTTGATCCTTGACGCTTGTTCACCATGAACGCCTGAGTCTCACATCTTTTTCAGGAGGGTCCTGTGAAGTTTTCGCGGTAGGGGGCGATGATGTTGCTGTTGTAATCCAAATTGAGACACTTGAGAGGGTGGGTGACCAGCACCACGCCCAGCCGCCTGTCTCATAAGCAGAAATATTTACACACCGCATCAGCTACACGTTTTAGGCTGAGTCAACCTAGGGGAGGCACGGGCCTGATTAAAATAAGTCACTGGGATTGGCCGTGAGCGGGAATCGAACTTGAGTTGCCGGGTTCACAGCAAAGCGCGCTGACCGCTCCACTACCGCTCACACACTCACACAGAGTGCACACTCACACAGACGTGCACACACTCACACAGAGTGCACACACTCACACAGAGTGCACACACTCACACAGACGTGCACACACTCACACAGACGTGCACACACTCACACAGACGTGCACACACTCACACAGACGTACACATACAAACGCCATTCGCCACTAAGTAGCGAGACGTCAACACAGCGCCCGTGCCACGCTAGGTGCGCTTGCAGCCATCGCGTGGCGTGGTTCATTGCGGACAGGTTGCGGAAAATCCCCCAATGGTTGGCTGATGCATCGCCTGTGCTTCCTACTACATCGCCTTGCGAGGTTTTATCCACCCGTTGTGAGCGTCGCTTCTCCACCGTCCTCAATCTTCATTTGAACTTCAATTTCTCTCCACAAAGTAAAATGTTTTACTGGTAGGAACCTCCTGGTTACACCAGCCCACAGGGGATTGTTGTCCGTCGTGCAGGGAGGAGCTGGGTGGGGAGGGTGGGGCTGTGGGAGGGGTGGGGCTGGGTGGGGAGGGGCTGGTCACCCCGTGGTGCCCTTATAAAACTCAACGTTTAACCTACTCACGCCGGCTTGTGGCCCGCCCTCACAGTCGGGAATATTTACAGAATACACCACGCCGCCGTTGACCGAGCAACCCAACGTTCCTACCAGCTCCCTCCACAGGAACGTGTTACATTTTTGACACAACTCCAAGGCCTTCTCAGTGTAATTTCAGCAGCACCAATTCCGTACAAGCAAACTATGAACGGATTCAACTGTATCCCATCAGCAGCACCACCATGCTTTCTTGAATGCTAGTGAACCGACAGATGTAGTCGGTATGGACTGACTTAATAATAAAAAGCCATACATCAATTATTGTAAAAAAAACGTGTTTAATCAGAGTATCTACGTCATATGGACCAGAAGCATAAACAATGACAAAGACGTGTTAAAAACTGCAAATAATGGAGGTGCATTCATTAAATTACGTTGAGGGGCAGGAAGAGGAACACAGGAGATTGCAGAATGCATGCCAAAAAACAAATTGTTCACGAACGATATTTGTGATGTTTACCTTCACAACACTTTGCCTTCCTATCGTGTTGTTGTTGTGGCATTGACCCGCACCTACTGACGTCTGTGCCAAGAGCTTAATAGCTCGTCGGATTCATCCAATATATTCAGATTCTGATACATTTAATGGACTATTAACCAGATCCTAACTGCTCAGACAAGTTTGCCTATACATGAAATGTTCACTTTAGTACCTCAGCCTGCAGGCCCCCTGGATGAGTGTTTTCCATAAATGTTTAAGCCAAATCTCAACTTTCCGAATGTAAACAGCAGTTAAACCTGTTAAACAAATGCTGCGAGTTTTTACCAGCAAGAGCCATCCACCAAAACCACGAGGCCCATTCAACAGTAATGGTTACTCGGGAAAAATATTCCAGGTAGTCCATAGGCTGCTGAAGTAGAATTACAGCTCATAACACTCCACAACAGTTTGTATGTGATGCAGTCTACGAGCCTCGTATTCTGTTGTTGTACCGAGCTGATGCACGACCTTTCCAGTTGGAACTTGACCATGTACAGCTGTTCGTGGCATTGTTTTCTTCATGGCTTTTTTTGCTGTAACCAGGTGTGTATCGTGTAATCAGGTCCCCATCGAAAATGTGCATTTATTGCCAAATGGGATTGACCTGTGCCAAAATTTATAACACAACTAGCAGAAGTACCCGGCGTTGCCCGGGTGAAAAATATATTTCTTAATAACCTTACATATATACACAGATACTAAGGTATTGTCAAAGCCCGGTGGGCTTTGACAATACCTTTCACCACTCACAACTCACCCTCACCACTCATCCTCACCACTCACCACTCCCACTCACTACTCACCATTCACCCTCACAACTCACCAATCTCCCTCACCAATCTCCCTCACCACTCACCCTCACCACTCACCGTCACCACTCACCAATCACCAAACACCCTCACCACTAACCCTCACCACTCACTCTCACCATTGACCCTGACCATTCAGCCTCACCACTCACCACTCACTCTCACCATTCACCCTGACCATTCAGCCTCACCACTCACCCTCACCACTCACCCTCTGCCTCACCACTCACGCTTACCACTCACCCTCACCACCACCACTCACCCTCACCACTCACGCTCACCACTCACTCTCTCCCTCTCCACTCACCCTCACTACACACTAATCACCCTCACCACTCACCCTCACTACTCACTAATCACCCTCACCACTCACCATTCATCCTCACTACTTACTACTCACCTTCATCACTCACCTTCACCACTGCCCCTCACCACTCACCCTCACCACTCATCCCCACCACTCACCCCTAACCACTCACCCTCACTACTCACCATCACCACTTACCCTCACCACTCACCATTCACCACTCACCCTCACCACTCACCCTCACCACTCATCCTCACCACTCACCATCACCATAAACCCTAACCAATCACCCTCACCACTCACCCTTACTACTCACCACTCAACGTCACCACTCTTCGTCACCACTCACCCATCACCATCACCACTCACCATCACCACTCACCCTCACTACTCACCCTCACTACTCACCATCACCACTCACCCTCACCACTCACCCTCACCACCACCAA